GTTTCATTCATTTATTTAGATATAATAGGAACGTTTGTTACTTTCTATAAATGTTTTTAAAATATTTCCATTTCTGCATGAATCCACTCTGGTACACTTACATAAATAAAGCAGAAGCAAAAATAGTTTTTAATTTTTGTCTCGCAAACGAAGAAAGATATGATTAAATACTGTTCTGTACGTTGCTTTAACTAATAAAATTAGCCAAAATTGTGCGTACTGGCGCCAGTAATTTTAATTTAGTTAAGACCTAGTCAACCGCTTATTATTACAAACAATAAACGCTACTAACCTTCGATAACATCGAACAAAAAAACAATTAAATAACTTGTATATATATACTTGTAACTCTGTATCTTGGCAACGAAACATTTCCGCCCTTAAGTTTATCGGAATTTTTTTCATAAACTGACCTGCACAATCTTCCTCTTATTAAATATTACCGCGGCTTTTCTAAATGCACTGTATAGTTATGTCTAGTTTTTTTACCATGCGCACCCAGTTTTAATCTATTTGGTTACAGGTTTTAGATGTTCTATTTAAATGTATGGGTAAAAGAGTAAATAGAAACTACGCTATTAAAAAATGATTTGCTTATTATATAAATATACGCGAGTTATTTAAATTTCCAATAGTACAATATTACAAGCACACAGTTGAAATGAAATGTTTGTTTGTTATCGGCATACTTATTAATTTTTTTCCGCAAGCAACCGCATTTAATAACAATTTGCGCTCGAACGTTCTCAAAGCTCCCGTTAAATCCCAAATGGAAAACTGGACATTGGAATTGATTCCTGCGAGAGTAGGAGAGAAGCAATTTACTTGGATAATTTTCGTGAATATTTTCTTCAAAATTGATTTGCCTGTTACTGTATTTGATGGTAAAAAAATCTTCGATTTACCCCCTTCATATGCCGACGCTCCTCTAATTGTTTTCGTCAAGTTTGATAATATGCCATCCCTTGAGGAAACTTTTCTTCAGCTAAATAGCTACAGGAATTATTTCAATGCAGGAAAATTTGTTATTATCATACCTGGCCCTCCTGCCAAGAAATTATGCCAGTTCTTTAAGCAATCACTTATTTTATATGTAGTTTTTATAGAGATTTTCGAAAATGGCTACTTGGGAATTTATAGCGGAGAATGTAATCGGATGCAACCGAATTTTCTAATGTCGTTGAACGAGTATTTATTTGCTTCCACGAAATCAATTAGAGTGTGTTACTATGAAAAAAGCCCTTATACCATCTTGCCCCATTCAGATAAAGGTAAGACTTGTTCTTATATTAACTGCAATTGCTCAAAATAAAATAAAATAAAAAGATACGTATAGGATGATTCAAAATTAGCTCCTTTTTTTAAAACACTATTTTTTTAGGTATTGAGCAAAGAGTAGTTGACCTGGTAGGCCGTTATTTGGGAATGTCCATAGAGTACATCAAATGCAACATATCTTCTTTATGCAACGAAAATGTGCCTGGCTTCGAAATTTGGGCAATGCTCTACAATCATTCTTGTGATGCTATAATAGGAGTCCTGCCTTGTCAGAAAATTTTTCGAGATTTTGATGTTAGCGCCACATACTTTTCAGATGCTGTTGTATTAATTGCTCCAAAAAATCAATGCGTTCGTCGTGTCGGTTTTCTCAAAATAAGCATGCCTTTGATTGTTTTTATTTCAAGTACTTACGTATTGGTCTCATATGTGGTTTGCAGCTTATCGAAATTAGTGAACCAAGAAACAACGCTGATGTGGGCAGTAAAGTTGCAAGTAAAATCCTCACTACTATCAATTTTTTTGTTATCTGCTGTAGCGTTTAATGGATTTGTCCAGGGGCAGATATTTAAGACTTTAATGTCCAGTAGAGAACATTGCGGTGCGGAAAGCCTGGAAGAATTAATAACGCAAAAAGAACCAATCTATTTTGAATGGCCAGTTCTTTCCGATTTTGTCGAGAAACTTTCGATAGACCGAAACCTGAAAGTTGAATGGCAGCCAAATATGAACGAATACCTACTTGACCCGAAGACAAATCACATTGTTAGGTTTTTGTCTTACAAATATAATTTTCCTCAAGTACCCACTACAAATAATGAAGAAACAATGTTTAGAGAAGTTGAGACTTTGTCATTGATCCACATTGGCATATTTTTCTATAAAAAACACTCTCTTATTGCCAATATATCAGAAGCTCTATTATTCGTTTTGCAAAGTGGCATCAATGAGAAATTTGTTGAAACCCTTCTGGCCAGTGCAAAAAAGCTCGAAGTTATTGATCAAGAAACTAATAAGTTTATCACTATAAAATTTGAAGAGTTGGAGTGGCTGTTTCGGTGGTATTCTCTAGGGTTAATCATGAGTGCGTTAGTATTTTGCGGGGAGATAGTTTTAGCTGGGATAGTCGGTTCAGATGCGGAACTAGCAAATTAATATATTTTGCCACGACAAACGGGTAATTTTAAATAACCGGCTGGTTCCGCATGTCTATTCTGTGGATACTATAGATTTAGTTTTTGTGAATGTTCGACATTGTTGTACGGTTTAAGTTTTGAAGAGCACCATGTAAAAACTAATCGCAAATACACATACTATTTTCATTCTACTCATTACATACAATTCAAGTAACCCTGTTATATTGCATTAGATAGATTCGCATAGTTAATATACGTTTTATGATAGAGAAAGTTAAATCTAATGTCTTGTAGCCTCATTCTATTCGGTTCACCCTTAAAGATCTCAAACTTTTTTGCGTCGTTCATCTGGATATGTTGTGTGGGGATAGAGAATACAAAAAAGTAGTAAGAAACCTATAAATAACTTAAAATAATTGGAGCAAAGCACGAATTTAGAGTTTGAAAATGTCGTCTTTCAATTTTATGCTAAAGGAAATTTTATTGGTGGAAAAAGGTGATCAAGCGAGAGAGTTAGAACTTCTTAAAACTATTATTTGCTTATAAAAATTCCTTAATTCTTTCGGAAGCTCCAGATCAGGAAAAATATGCCCGATGGTGCTGAGTTCAGCAACATGGTGTTTCCCTGCTACTATTTTCACTTTCTACGTAAACATGTTCGATATTGCTACAGACTTTAAGTTTAGAAGAGCACCATTTAGGAATTAACCACAAAATACTGTAAAAAACATACCCACTGTTTTTGTTTCTTTTCTTCTTTTTCATACTCTCCAAGTAACGGCTATAAGGAATTGCTCCATTTTTTAATAGACCTGTATTCAAAAGGATACGGTGCGACCTAAACGTTGACTGACAGTCACGATTTGTTCAATGTGATCTTAAGTTTGGAAATGTTTACGATATTGCTTCAATTTACTGTAAGAAAAGGGTAAAGTTGAGTTACACTTAGATAATATTAAATTACTACTTATAGCTTAATATAAAACTTTTTTTGTTTTATATTTAAAATAACTGACCATAATCTAACCTAAATTGGCTCACAGTGCGTCATAATTAGTTAACGTCATATAATATTCGGATGGGATCTGTGTCATGTATTTCAGCGTACGCCACTGGTAAAATAGGGTAAAAATGAAGGGAACAAAAATAGTGGGAAATGATAAGTTTATAACCTATATGTTTAAACGTCTTGTCGCCTATTAATTAAATATAAGAAATTTAATAATTTGAATGTATTGGCATTGCCAAAAAGATGAAAATCCACTGTACTGTTTGCATAGTAAATCGGTGCTTGCCGAATTTACCTGGCAATCTAAGGAAAAAGCCGTGCAAGTCCACTCTTGCATTATGTAAACATCCAAATAGTGAAGAGTTTTGTTTTATCCTGTTCTCTGGTCAGAACAAAAACGGCACCAAATACCCGTTAAGAAACAATATCAAACAAGTCCTAACTCGGTTTGTTGCGGAAGGAAAGTGCACTATTCAGATCAAGAAACCAGAACACGATTTATGTATACAAGGGGACCCCATTCAGGTTAAAGGATTTCTGCATCTTGTGAAGCGAGCTTTGGAAGGAAAAGTGTCTCCTAAGGAACTTACATTTTCCAGTATGAACGTAATGCCAGTTAAAGCCAAAGACATCGCTCCCACAAAGTTGGTCATTTCTAAAAGGTATGTTTGCATATTCGTTTATAAATAGTTTATATATGCTGCATCTTATTACGAACATATCAAAAGCTAGACATCCGTAAAGATTTGAAACAATGGTTGTTAGTTAATTATAAAATTAAACCATACATTCTTGGCGACGTGCTAGAACAGTGTGAACAACTGGTCTACTATAGGGAAGTGGTTACAAAGTTTGCAGGACTAATTGATTCACTGGAAAGTCGCCTAAAGAGTTTGAAAGTAGTTTCAAAGTCTTTTCTCATAAAAGAGACATGATGAAAGCACACACTGATATTTGGTCAGAATAAAGTGATCTTATAATAAAGAGTATTTACTTTACTAAAAATTAAATTAAAGTAAACAGAAAAGCAAAATCTTACAAATCCCCACTATTACTTGAATACATCCCATTGAGAAACGAGTTCATATTCATGCATTAATTAAAGATAAAAATATTGTACTGAATACTAAATTCACGCTGGATATTAAGCGTTATCTACAAGACCAGTATAAAGGTGGATAATGGATGCACGTGTAAAATATAACATAAATCACAAAGAAATTGCAAAAATTTCATTAAAAAGTTTCGCAAACATTACTTTTTTCCTTATTCAAAATATATATCATAATAAAAATTATTAACCGCTTATGCGATACGTTTACTTCCGCACAATATGTTCATGCACGATTTACTTTCAGGTCTGATTATCCTACGAAAGGCTTCCCACGCACATTGGAAACACTGTATATTATAGACATTCAACGCTGCAGTTTAGACAAAGGAATTCTACATTTGAACAAACTAAAGATTCTCAATTTAAGTAATAATCGAATCGAGAACTTACCAGAAGAGCTGAACAAGCTTTCTAACTTAAGGGAGTTGAACATATCGCATAACTTATTAGGTAGAACGTCAGTTAAACAGTGGCATTGGATTGGAGGGTGTCTATCAAAAAACTTAAACCTACTGGATTTGAGCTACAACAATCTTAGTTGTGTGCCAGATCAACTGGTGAAGCTGTACAGTCTTCACACTCTACATCTTAGTTATAATAACCTTGTGGCATTACCTGTAGGAATTGGGAGCTTAAAGCAATTAAAAATATTTTCTGCGTCTAACAATTCCCTCACCATTTTACCGGGAACTATTAAAAAATTAAGATTGCAAAGCATTGATATATCCGGAAATAAGTTTGAACAAAGCATATCAAATGCGGCTGGCATTTTCCCTAAAACGCTGCAAGTTTGCTCATTAAAGGAATGTTCAGCTAAGAAAGTGTTATGGGCAAGAATTTCATACCCAAAAGGTTCAATTCCTCTGACTCTGGCTGACTACTTGGACTATGCAAAGTATTGCGTTTGTGGTAAAGCATGTTTTACTGTCTTTTTTAGACAAACACATAACTTGCTGCTGGCGAATATATCGGAAACTGTTAACACTAGTGCAAATGAAGCAGTTCATGTTCCGATTGACTGCTACTTTTGCAGCTTGAGATGCTTCAGTTTAGCATTCTACAGTAGGAATCGGAATCCCATTGTCAGATAGGACGCGGTTGATTTTAGTTAAAATTGTATTGTTGATATTCTTCATGTTACAAAAATGCTGTTTGATCTTTTAATTTTAGTTACTACTTGTGAAAAATAACAAGGACCAAATTTAGTTTTTAAAATGGTTTGAAATCAGTTATTGCAAGAATACAACAATGCTTTTAATTAAAATCATGTTGAATACATTTTTTTGAATACAATTTTTGCATTCAGGCAGAATCATCAATGGAAACTGTGTGGGTTTGATGAGGATAAAGACCAATGTTTCACATTGGCCTACATTTGTATTGTAGGTACATTGAAAGCAAAAAGTCTTTGCTGAAAGTATGTACATTTGGAAAATGAAAATTAGTTTATTATATTTATATTTATATATGCACGGGTTTTACTCCCAAGATATGTGCGAGTTGTGCTAAAATAGGTCAAATAGTTGTATACAATTTCTATTAAATCTGCTGGTTCTCTCATTGTAAATTTTAATATAAGTATTTTTGAATTTTTAAAATCTTTTCGATCTCAACCTATAGGTATTCCCTTCGAATTATATGAGTTTCAGGTTTGATAATTTAAGGGATATACAAATACAGTACAAATGCAATAAATATTAAAATGGGAAGAAGCTACTACACGAACTAAATAATCTTATAAAATAGTAATAGGATCTAACTGAATGGTTTTTCTCCTATCTCAATTATTTGTTAATAATTAATATCGGCTAATATTGTCGAAAATTACTGGTAACGGAATGCGTGACTTGTCAAAGATGATTGGACTTCAAATCTCAAAAGCAATGTGAACATTTTAATTAAGAATGAATATTTCCGTGTCTCTGTAATGACCACTAAGGGACTACATGCGGTATTAAGAAATCTTCATTGGCTTGTTGGTAAGCCATATATATTTAGACACAAGTAGATTAAAAAATAGACTTCCGGACTCATTCGCAGGCAAATGGACATCGATTTCAGCTGAAGTGAGTTATCCAACTATGCAAAAAGTTATTAAATTTGACGAAGTTCTGGAGTTTAAGTTCATGGGCCAACCTCTGTTAACGTATAGCTCCGTCACTACCAATCCACAGAACAAGGGCGTGATGCATCTTGAAAATGGGTTTCTCAGAGTGGATGAAGACCAGTGCACTCTGGCATTTCTCACAGGTAAACTGAATTTTATACCAAAAAGCCATCGGAAGTTTTTGTAAAAAATACATTATAGCTATGAATTTTGGACTTGCTTCTCTAGAAGAAGGTTACGTAAAAGGCAATACAGTCGTTTTAGCCTCGGCATGTTTAGGAATTATGAAATTTGCTAAACAGAGCATTTTAGCAATTCATCGATGTTACAGGTAATCACTCAAAATTATCACAGTAAAAAAACTTGCAATTTATATTGTTGTTAGACTCAACGATAAAGGGGAATTAGAGTATACCCTGCTTATGGAAACACCACAAACTCCTCTAACATTGCACGTAGAAGCCGTTTATCGCAAAGAATGCACTGAGAGCGCAGACAAAAAAATATCAAATAATGATAAAAAAAAATAACTAGATAAAGTCAAAAAAGAACTCAGTGTTTTTACTTAGGAGTCATTTAGTTTTCTAGGTATATCTGCGTATTTGCTATGCGGAACGTCGAACTGGCGATAAATCAACATAAGGGCTACCGAATAAATAAAATCAAAATAGATAGCAGGAATTTAATAAATACTGCGAGTAACTTCAAGACTGTTTGAATAGTAATAAAGTTTTCTTAACAAAATGAAATCACCCTCCATTCAATGCACTTCAGCTACTTTAGTTTTCTGCCTGAAACATCCCAAAGTTTTCTCCAAGGAAATATTAATGAAACGCTTTGTGTTTATACAATTTTGGCCTAATAGGCTATATTATACAAGAACGGATCTAATTTGGATGAGTACATGATTAAATCCAATATGTGCCGAATAAAATTTATTGTTTTGACAAGAAACTCTGATTACCAGGTAAACGGAGCGCGCTCTCTTAAAACCCTCACTCCGTACTTCTCCCATTCTACAGCTTCGATCCATAATTCTTGTGCAGTTTCAAGACAAGACATAATGCAGGCACCTTTCCATGCTACCATTGAAGGATCCATGTCTCTAGGGTTGGTGATAATGTCGAGCTGTTCGGCGCGATACAAATATGGAATCTGAAGCGATATTCTATTTTGAAGCCACGTTCCTGAAAGCAAATATACAGATAAATTTAAGCCGATACAATACACTACCATGACACAAAGAACGTAAAGTTGTAAAGCTTTAAATTTCATTCTTATATTCAACTTTCATTTTTTTTGTCCAGTTTAAATAGGCTTTAATAAGTTATGAATGCTTAATGTTCTTAAAAATAAAATAATTGTGCTTATGCACAATGTAATTTTAAGTAAACTTTCACATACCTATTCCCGAGAATTTCATACCTCCTCCAACCACCAGTACACAACCGTACATTTTCCTTTTCAGATCTTCATTTGGACACCTGAAGAGTAGATATGTTTATTAATAACTGCATTTGCTGTTAATTTTGGGCTTTTTCATACGTTTTAATATGTAGTATTACACACTCATCTTTCCTCAAGTTTTACTACTAACTAACCCAAATTGCTTTATTTTTGGTGTTTATTTGAAATGTTAAACGGACCCCAGGGGTGCACTTCCTTAAAAGGCAATTAGCTATTGTCTCTTAACGGTTTTAACTCGTTTGCCACGATTTTCAACGAATCCGATATATCCATATTTTTATAAATTTCTGACCTATCAATACTTTGTAACACAGCCTGATCCAGTCCCAATATTTGTCCAGGATTTATGACGAATTCTTTAACCGATTGGTTAATAACTGGGTCCATGGCATCCACAACAATATCATCATCATTGCCCACTTGCTGACTTTCCAGAAATGATTCGTTTAACTCATTTGCCGAAGATTCCTCTTTCATTCCTACAGAGACGAACGCGTTTGCAACGTGCCAAGGGGAACTCTGTTAGTTTGTAGTATGGGACTTGTACCTTTTTTTCTAATATCTCTGAGATAAATTTCATCATGTGGATCTTCAGGATCGCCAGTCGATATTTTTTGAGTGTGTATTTGTTTCGAACCAGTTATAGCAAACAGTTCCGGATTGAAAAGACTCAAAGGAGCTATAATGCACTCATCTCCGACCTTAAACAATTGATCAAAATAATATGCATTATTATTATCCTCAATTAATCATAATCGTCATACCTGGATAGTAAAGTGGCATATAGGTTTCTGAGGCTGTTTTAATGTAAAAGATTTTTCTTGAGAGCCACATACATCGAGATTCACATGACATAATTCCTCTTTTAGTTTTCTCAAAAGCATTGAATCCAATTTGTTCTAGAGAAGCATCATAACATATACATTTAATTCTCATTAATACATAATACGTGATCAAAGTTCAGTATTAACATTTCAAGGGTATTTTTAGGTCAAAATAACGCAATAATAAACCACACTACAGACATATCAAAGGGTGCACAAAAATAGTTTTTTATTTTGATTTTTAAAATTCTCATAATGTTTTTGTATGAACATTGCAAGGGAAATTCAGAAGAAATTTGCGACTAAAATAAGATAGATATCCGAAAAATCTTTTAAGACAAGATGACAAAGAAAGGGTGTGCCTAGTGGCGTTAAAATATTACGATTGCATTCAAATTTATTGCAAAAGTAGGGATTATTTTGACGCAAAAAATACAGCCTTAACGTGCATTTACAATCACCCTCTATAAGAAATTCAACCAGCATCGAGAATTGATATTTCCTTCCTTACTTGTTCATCGCATTCTTTATATGGAAATGCACACTTTTGTAAAAGCCAATAAAATATCTGTGTAATATCTCCGCCACCATACTCCAATCGGACGCGAGTGTTAGGATGGCAAATGCCATCTTCAACACATGATACCGACGTTTTCTGATCGCCTACATCAATCACGCAAGCATAGGCCAAGCCAGAACCAAACGTAGCTGATACATGATCTTGTACTAAAAACACAATGAAATAGGCTTCTTTTAATTATTGAAAAACTTTTATTACCCAGAAAACAACTGCCAAATCCCATAGAGCCTAACAGCAAGTACATAAGTTCCCTTAGGTAGGTTCTGTTATAAACATCTGGGACTATCAGCACGGCTTTAAAAGCCTTCAACTCTTTGCGACTGATTTGTAAGTTAGTTTCAATGATATAAGTCCATATTGTTTCTAAGTCTGCTAGAACCGATGTCATTGACCCCCCTGGTCCAGAGTGGATGTTGAAATCGCCCCTCTTGTAAGGAAAATGGATATTAAACATTTCATCTGGGCTCAAACGAAATATATCATTGCCAATTATTGTATCGCCTTCAAATTTAACCCAATCGCCTCCAGTGTCACCTGATAACAGTCTGACTTAGTTTCAAATTGAGGAAATGAAGACCAACAAGAAAATTACCAACAATTTCCGGTTGTACTCTTCTATTGAATGCCGCAATTTGCTGTGGCGGAGTAGCGTATCTTCTTCTCCCATCAGACTGCAAACACGACTGTAGAGTATGTGAAATTGCCAATCGGGATTCTTCTAATTCTTTTGTATGACTCAACCCGGTACGGTCTGGTAAAAAGGTGTCAGAATATGCCTAAAATTAATTAGAGAGCTCTAAAGAATAATCATCAGATAGAAAGTATAAGTAAAGTTGCAAAAATGTTTCAAAATTTCCTCAACTGTTCCTTTATTAGGTATGCTTTAGGTTTTAAACCATCATCAGGTAAAACCTACCAACAAAGGGATTACAAAATTAAATAACAAATCAAATTATTTTACGAGTAAAGATTTTACATTTGTTTTACAAAGATTAATTTTTATTCTCAATAAGGGAAGCAATGAAATTCACGTTGGGAAGTGATTTACATAGTTCATCACTGCTTGAAACCTAATTGTTTGCACACGAATTAGGAAATACTCAAGGATGTCATGCATTTACAATAATGTTTTCAAATGTTGAAGAGAAAGATTACTCTCTACTTTAAATTTATTTAGTGAGTAAGCTTGAAAATTATTAAAACATTTTTTTATCTTCTTCTACCTATGTAATGTTTAGACTTACCTGGCCCCCAGGTTTTCTCCTTCTAGCAACCGCATGCAAGACAGTTACTGGGTTTAAGTCCGAAGCCCTGCCAATGCGCAAATTCAAAGATCCTGGATGAATTACCACTATATTTTTCGACTGTACTGCATCTAAAGGTATGTCTGGTGCAATGCTCACGCCTGGTATCATCGCGAAAGTACTTTTCTGGTATTTGTTTTTAAATTTCCTTGATAAACTTTTTTCAAATTTGTTTGTTTATTATAACCTAGAATTATTCCTGGCGACAGATTATCAAACTATTCTGACCAAGAGTTCCTGACAAGTAAACTTGATCTTCTTTAGGAATTATGCCATTGAACAAATTTTTAAAATATTTAAACGAACTGTTTTACTTATTTCGAACATGAACATCATGACTACTAATACCTTTAACTTTAAATTTAATTATTTTATTATTTATTAAGGTAATACTATTTGCAATTACACATATGATCTAACAACTACAGCCTAATTGTTTTAGTAGATCATAACCCTAACCTATATTTTTATGTTTTAATGAAGAAGGGCACATGCCTTCTGAATCTTGGTACCTTGTAGCAGCAGCTCATTTTATATTGAACGTTTGATAGAGCAGTTAGCTGGAATTTAAGAAAAACAGTCGATAAGGAAGATCCTCTAAGCTCAATTGAAATATGGATATAACCAATACTCAGTTTTATTTAGGAACTGCGAGGGGCGTGCTGCTGTGTAAGTTTGTAATTAGTTATTTGAATAAGTCTAGATTTGTGGCTGGAGTTTTATCAATGGAGCCATGGCGACCTCGTGTCTGAATTATCCAACTTTAAAATATTCTATCTATTTTTTTCCACTATTCAGGTACTACTGATAAGGCTAATGATGTCAAGGTGTTCAAAAACGGTGAAAAAACAGAAGTTACTGCTTTAGCAAATGGAAGACATGAGAATGAAATCGCTTTGGGATATGGCAATGGAAATGTAGACATTTTCGACACAAAGCGACGTTGTTTCACCAAGAAAATTGATAATCTAGAAGGAAGTGAAAGTATCACTGGTAAGAAGTACAAATTATAGGGAGTGTGAATACATCTTTTCTACTAAGAATGGCACAAAATACAGTCCATATCTGATACCAAATTCAAAAGGCTTGCTAAGTCAATCGGAGAGAAGAAGCTAAGTGGGAGATTTTCGAACAAGTACTTTTTTATAAAGAGTGCCTCGTTACCACATGATCAATTCGATTACTAAACAAATATGTTATATATATATATTCCTTCTAAACTCCAGCATGAGCTAACCAGTTATCATTTTAACTTTTACCGAGTTATGAATATGTTATACATATAATAGTGTTAATTATTGAACTATCGTATTCAATGTGGTTAGAAATACATATATAGGAAACATTTGTATTGATTTGATTCTTTTATATTTAATTAGCGAGATTTTGAATAAAAAATTTCGATCTATTCTAAACAATCACCGCAAGGCTTATAAAACTTCTGTCATTAGGTATCTGCCACATTAACCAGTCACTCGTTGTGGCTAAGCATGATGGAGTAATAAATATATGGAGGGACAAATTGAGAGACTTCTTTTCCATAAATCTCAATGAAAACTCCACCTTGGATGCAATAGAACATAATCAGAATAACAAGATTGTGGGCACTGGAGGTGAAGCAAATGACTTTAAAACGTGGAACATTGAAACCAAACAGTGTGTGTTTAAAGCTAAATCAGTAAGTAACGAATATGGCCAAAATTTAATTGGTATATACAACTACAATAATAGTTGTCTTAATACTATGTAGGTACTTTGATCTTATAGGCAATGCAATGGGCACTTAGTAGGAAAGGAACTGAAATATGGGTTATTTACTTTTAAAACGATACTCCAGTTTTAGTTCCTTACCTAGTTTGGCTCACGGTCTAGTAACTGTTAGTCTGTGGATTATGAAGGAACAGGTAGTTGTGATATGTGCATTTGATATCATATCACAGCTCCTATCCTTCATTGTCCATAAGATCTATCGTCAATTAAAATCCTATGAAAACAAGTCTATATGCAAAGGGTTACTATTTCGTCATTAGGCATATTTATAACGATAGGGTTATACGTATACATTTCATTCAGTTATGAACGTTTTATCAATCCCCATTTTGAGAATCCCAAGTCACTGGCAACAAGCATTTTTTAAATCTTTTGACTCAAACAATTTTTAATTTTTGGCTTTGGCATTTTTGAATATAAAGCAACAAAATGGAAACCGCACAATTTGGAAAATATCATTTTGCATCGCACATATTAATGTCATGTTTTTAACATCTCATCTTGTTCACTTTATTAACAGCACATCTAATTTTAACAGTATTGAATCATAATGCGCTTGAGAAAGCAGTAAACATTTATTTCCTCACGCTGTATTAAAATTTCATAGAAGAAATTAAGATTATTTATATGATTATTTTTAAGAAAACACATTTTTTTTTTAAATCCACACTGTTCGTGACCTTATTAAGTTTGGAGAAACAAACGCAACAAAAAAATCCAGATTCGCATTGAATAAAATAAATCCAGGTTCGTATTGAATAATATTCATGTATACCGTAAAAAGATTAAAACATATGTAAAAGATCGCAGCATTTCCAGTAAATGAATGTTTTAATCAGATAAGGTTTAGGTTGGTTTCGGTTTTTAATCGTGAGTTCAAACAAAAAATATGAACCCAAAGTTTTTGTGAGTATAAAAGATAAAAGTTTTTGTGTATTTGTCATTTCCTAAAATTATCTAATTGCGAACCTTTTGCGAGTTTTTCATCATTGAAATCTGCACCCTGCATCATTATTTAACCCACCATCTTTCTGTTATTTAGCGAAATCGATTGTATTTCGACCAGCAACAACAATTGTTGAAGTATGTGAATATTAACTGAATATTTTACTACCAATTTAATAACAAGTTACAGATAAAAGTTTTCCACATATATATATGTGATTACATCCATCTAATATGTACAGTTTTTATTTGAATAACGTCTTAGAATTTGTATGGCAATTGGCGCTCTCCGTCAATACTTACATACATATACATATTAGAATTATGAAAATTGGTGTTTCAATTTTTATCACTATTTTTTAAGCTGCATTTCTGCCTTTACCTCATTTTCAGTTCGTGAATTTTACTAACTAATGTAAATATATTCACAGCTAGGACATGACCACTTGCAGTTACCAATTCCCACATCAATTACTGGAATTTGCTTTTTCAACGGTGCAGAAAACTTGGGAGCTTGTTGCACAGCACAAGGCAGAGTTCTGCTCTATGATGATAGAACCCAAAGGAAACCCGTCGTAAATTATTTTCATGAAAAAGCTAGTTATTCGACAATTAGTAGCTCTTTCAACGACCTGTAAGTAATTTTTTCAAAGTGTATACAAATTTACTTGACTCAATTATGTTTCCGATACAGCCAACTTTTTGTTGGGAACACGAAAGGCTACATGCAATGGCTGGATCTTCGGTGTACTACAAAGTCATTGAGAACATACACAAATTTTAGAGGAGCTGTAACTGATATCGCATGCGATAGTGTTAAATCATCAGTTGCCAGTGTTAGCTTGGATAGGCACCTGAGAATACATAAAATAGAGTCTAAGGAATTAATCAGAGAGGTATTTATATTCACCATTCCATTTTAGATAGCTAGGACAAAATCAGAAAAAAGACCATTTGAAAATTTTTACTTTAACCGATTTAGTGAGAATCGTAGGATTCAAAGTATTGACAATTTAGCATTTTCTGGACGCTTGTTGAAAGGCCTTTATGTTAGCACAATGATAAGGAATGTTCCATTTAAAGAAAATAAATTAGTACTTAATATTTATGAAAAACTCAGACTTCCTCAAATAAATACTATTAGTGGACAGGTCCATTTTTTAATTTATTTTACAGGCTTAGTTGTTGTTTAAAATGTGACCCTGTTTTCAACTTTAGGTGTCTATCTCTCGTAGGCTATACATTTTTTTGAACACTGAAACGGAAACAATTTTAATGGATAGCCACTTTGATGCCAATATCGCATGAAAAATAATTTCAAATTACACACCAGTTAGCCATAATCTACCTCGTCTTGATTGCTCCACCATGTACACTAATAGATTGAGGATGTTCTGAGAAATAGTAGTAGAACTGAACAGTTTGTTTTCTTATTTCAGCTTTATATGAAACAAAGTCTTTCCAAGATGTTGATTCAACCCATTATAAAGGAAGAATCATCTGAAGAAGATGACGAGTTTGAAACGTTATTTAACGAGATGGAACATGTATAACTGGTTGCTACCTGAATGGTTTTTTTTGTTAATTTATTCGTAAATAAACAACACAAAAATATGATTTCTAGTGTTTTTTCTTCATTATTGTAAAATTCTAGTAACAAATGGTAAAAGTTTCTGTTTTTTTGTGAATTTTCTTTGAAAATCAGAATAATAATCAATATAGCAAAAGTTTCTCGTGAACTAAAGTGCATATATTTTCACTGTCTGTCGCAATAGTTAACCGCATCCATGACACAAAATTGTTTAAAAACTGACGTGTACATCTTTATTGTTTGAATTTGAAATATAATAAATTAAAATTATTCCCATAATACTTATATTTAGTAATTATTTACAGCCCATGGGTGCGAGAAAGATAGTCAAGACGTATAGGAATAAATTCACGCCTCGAAAAATTATCAAAGAAAAGCGATTGCACACATAACCTCTCATCGAGAACAATCATATGTTTGGTTATTTCCCGCCATCTACACATTTCCTCATGTTATTTGCATCTATGTTTATAATAAATGCGTTTTAATAATTACCCGATAACAAACGCAGATTTCATTAAAAAATGTCCAGCTTTAGCCAGGTAATATGTTGATATATCGAAAAGTTATGTTATCATCTATCAACACTTGAAAACACTTTGTTTAATCGAATCATAAATATCATGTTTGTAATCAGTTAGTTGATTAATTTCCATTCCAGATCTTATCTGCAATTCTATACTTATACGTTCAGTAACATAGAAATATAGGGGGTGACAACGTAAACCAGTTCTAATGCCTAGAAGACGCACTGTAATTCACATGTAACTTATGGTTAAAGGGGCCCTGGCTTATGTTGTGTCTAGATCATTGTCATCCCAAAAAACCTGCGTTCTTTAAGGATTTAATTAAATGTTTTTATCAAGTGTCGCCTCCCTAATATTTAATTTTTAGCTCAATTGATGTCATTGTTATACCTCTTGTTTTTCAGTCTTCGAGGAAACGAAAAGGTGTAGGTGAAGTTCGATCAGATGAGTCTAATGCAGCACCTAAGAAGTCGAAACTAAATAGTGATCATCAAACATGTTTAGTAAGTTTCAACAATATAGAATATTTAATTTAAAAATGAATATTTATCTGCTGCAAACTTATCGATATAACGGAAAATGCTTGCCGATTCGTATACTTACAGAGTGTAAAAACAGCATGATAAGTTCCTATAAAAATGTCTACAGCTGCTATCTACCAAGATAAACACACCGCTTAAAATATATCTTTATCAAATAACTTTTAAATYATTTGATATAATTTTATATTTTTTTTATATGATAGGTTTAAACTCATTCTGATGTTTGATTTAACCAGGGACCAACCAGATTGTACACATTAATCCTTGTTGAGCACTTCTGATTAAATGTATTGTTCTTTACAGTTGTTGCGGTTTGATCGGCTTCAAAAGGTTCGCTTTTTTTTCATTCGCAAAAGCTAAACCGTGTAGAAAAACAGAAAAAAAACCTCTTTTTCGAACTCGATCGAATGAAACGATCTGAAACTGATGATTTTGCTGTATGATAAAGCAATGGGGTGCAAATTTTTTCATTAAAATTATTCAGTTTCCTGATCATGGCAAAATTAAAATTAATGTTTTCGAGAACATGGTCTCCCTCGATGACAATTAAGATTCCTCGTATTTGTTACCAACAAAATTTTCGAATGAAGGTAGTTTATAAAGTATATGATTTGTCGATTCTCTATTGGTCTAAAGTCTCTTCTTTGTTGGAAACTGGATCTAATTATAAATTACCTTAAATATTGGGCAAGACAGCAAAATGAAGATACTTTCAAACCAAAACTACAACTACTGCTATAAGTAGTAGGATAATTGAAGAACTTATGCCATGTACTTACTGATCCTTTTTGTACTAAACTTTAGAGGCGGGCCGGAACAATAAATCACATGACCTTAAAAAATTTCATGTGCCATTCGAATTTCGAAATAGATTTTACCAAACACAATGTAAGTATGGTAATTGGGAAAAACGGCAGTGGTAAAAGTGCCATCCTAACAGCATTGATTGTTGGATTAGGAGGCAAAGCAAGCTTGACAAATCGAGGATCGAGTGTTAAAAGTATGGTAATATTTTTTGCTGCTAACTGGGATAATGCGATGTCTTTTGTAGGTTTTGTAAAAGCTGGACAATCTTCAGGAAGTGTAGAAATTGAGTTGTGCAACGAAGGGCCCATGGCATACAAACCAAGAATTTATGGCAAAACTATTACTGTCGTCCGAAATATTTCAGCATCTGGTGCAGGAAGCTATAGAGTGAAGTCTGAAACGAGTAAAAAATTACTTTGTTTCCTGTTCGCATTTATAAGAATGAATACGTTTTAGATTCAGTCATTTCTACCCAAGCAAAAGAACTGTTAAATATCACGTCCACCCTTAACATCCAAGTGGATAATCCAGTTTGCCTTTTAACCCAAGATACCTCAAGAAATTTCCTTAGTAGCAATGATCCGAAGAACAAATTTAAGCTCTTTACGAAAGCTACGAAATTAGAAGATTTAGAAGTTGAGTATAAAACTACTATGCTGAACCAAAAGGAGTCCGTTCATCTATTAGCCGACAAAAAAACGGTATGCAAGCTTATGGTAAATTGGGGTACGGTAAATCTTAATATTTTGTTCGTAAATAGAAATTTGCGAATTTGCAAGAAGAAATGCTTGCATTGAAAAAGAAGATAGATGGTCATCAATCTATTATTAGTATAAAAGAAAAGAAACTTAGTTTACAAAATGAAATGTTGTGGGCACAAGTCAAAGACCTTGAAGATGAACTGGTGGAAGAGCAGGAAAAAGTTGATAAGATTATAAAACGCCTAGAAGAATTTAAGGCGGATACCAACAAGAAGGCTCAGCAGATGGAGGCGGTCCAAGAGAGTATAAAGTAGGTAGTTGAATCTAATTAAAGCGACTAACGATAAATTATGTTTAAAAATTACGTAATTTTAGCAATTACGAACGACAGATTGCGGATATTAACGGCCAACTGGAAATCCAAAAAGGTCCCCTAGCTGATTCGAAGAAAATCATCGACGAATTGCAAATAGCTTACAACGAAGAAAGGAGAAAAAAGCATGCACTAGCTATTGAGATCGTCGATAAAGTTAAAAATGCTGAATATTTGAAACAAGAAATTGCCAATGCAAATAAAAAGTAGTACTTTGAATTGGAATAAATAGTTCATTATTGGCTAACATTAAATTTCCAGCATGTCCGAAATAGAACAGCAGAAGAAAGACAGATTGGGAAAACTTGCCAAACTGGAAGATCGGTTTAGAAGCTGTGGTAATCACATAGAAACAATCAATAATGAATTGTTTCAAATCAAAAGTGACATCGATAAAAAGCAGGGAGATGCTAGAAGTCTTAAGACGGAAATTTCACACATTGCGAACGAAATTGGTAACAAGCCTAGTCAATATACTGGTTTTTTTAAATAGTTGAATATAATTAAAGCTTTTGGGTTAAAACCAGCTTAAATATTTAAGAAAATAATAATTGTTAACTATAGGAAATACCAAATGCGATGAAGTAAATGCGTATGTTTTTCAAATTAGCAATCAAAATTGCATTGATTTTAGCAAATGAAGAGTCTAGTTTACGAGCACTTGAAAGAGAGTCTGGAAATACATTGATGATCTACGATAGAAATATGCCAAAAGTTATAGAAATGATCATGCAACAGAAAAATTCATTTCAACATGAACCCAAAGGTCCTTTAGGTATTTTACTATTTAATGATGAAGACCTTGAAAGTATTAATCTTATTTTCCAGGATCCTACTTGAAATTGAAAGAAAAGAAATGGGCTGTAGCCGTTGAAGGATATTTAGGGCGGGGAGTTTTGAGCGCGTTTACTGTAGACAATCAAAAAGATGGCAAATTGTTGCAACAAATTTTTGGAAAATGCTTGGAAAGAGAACGCCAGCCGACTATTATAACATCCCGCTTTATAAATAGAGTACGTTTCAAATGTGTAAATATATTTTCGAAGTTAACGATTAAATATTACAGAAACACGATGTAAGTAGAAATTTGGTGCAAGCTCCGCCAGATTGCGTACCCTTGTACAATGCACTGATAATCAACGATCCTGTAGTATCCAATTGTATTGTTGATCAGTCAAGTTTGGAAAATATATTGCTGATTTCCAGTGAAGAAAAAGCTATGGAATTAATGTCAGATAGGGTAAGGCTTAGGCGCGCTCGTATTAGAGAAACTGTATGGATTTTTCGATTTACCTTAAATTTACAGGACAGAGTACCAAAGAACTGTAAACAGGGTTTAACTATTAAAGGGAATAAGTATTATCCTGACCCAAATTATAAAACTTATGCTTCAACTTGTCATCAAGCCCGTTATTTGCAAGTTGATACTCAAAGTCATGTGCAGTAAGTAAATATACATTTATTATTTGTGGTTCAAATTTAATTATTGCTCTAATCTAGCCTTCAATTTATTTTCATACATTTACAATTTGTTCATTTTTCAGTTAAATGCAATCAGTTTTTAGATTAACACAACTTAGTCTTATCAAGAGTATATTCGTATACTGTAAATAATTAAGACTTTTAACAGTATATTAAATTTAATACAGTAATCTTGTTCTATTCTGTATTATTTTTGTTATCAGAGCGATTAAAAATAATATCGAAAATTTGAACAACCAAAAGCAAGCAATCCAAAGTCAGTTGCAAAGTTTAGAAGCCAATATTAAAACTCAACAGTCAAGACAAAAGGAATTGGAAGACAAACTCAGAAAGGTTACCTTAGCTAAACAAAAAATTAGAACAGAGCGTGACGAATTAAGTAATGAGGCCGAACCAGAAGTGCACAATTTGCATAATCTGGTAAGTTGTTTAGTGTAGAACACACATTTCTTGAATGTTGTCTAAAGCAATATTTTGTAAAAAGTGTTAACTTTTTGCTATAAATTAGACACAAATATATTTTTCAACTGTTGAAGCACAATGCTCATTGCAGGAAAATGAGCTTGAGGAAATCCTTGGAACACTTACGGAGAAAAATGCCATTTTGGAACAAACCGACCAAGAAATACGCGAACTCCAATCGAACATATCTGAGGAAGAAGAAAAAATGGGCAAGTTCAAAAAAGCCTCTAAAGTTTTAGAAGAAAGATTGTGGCAGTTACAGGTATATTACCAATTGTGATTACCGAGCATAGAAAGCCTAAATAATCCCGAATGGCTTTTATTTGATTTATTAATTTCTACAAGTAAATTAACACATTGATTAAGGAAGTTTGTCTTGTAGGAGCAATTGCGAACCACTCAGTCCGAACAGCGTCAACATTTGACCAGTAAAGAGTTTAATGAGCAGAGGCTTAAAGAGTTTCAGAGGAAAGTAGACCATGCTACATCTGCAGTGGTTTTGAAACAGGCTGAAATCGATACAAAATCCACGAACGCTGCTAAATTCGAACAACGACCTGCAGAGACCCGGTATGACTCTTCAACTATATTAGTCAAATGTTTTTTTTTTATTTATAATTTTTTTATATTAATTTACTTTAATTTAAAAATCTATTTAGGCCAGTAAGAGTAGTAGCCAACGAATTGAGCGAAATATCCAGGACTATGGCTCGTAGAGAATCACAATGCGACAATATTGAAGAAGTTACTGAACAGTACACGGCATTGGTTGCTAAATATAAATCCGTAAGTAGAATGTTTAATTTTTTTCGCAATTGTTTGTCTGCATTTTGTTTAGGTTGCTGAGAGTATGAAATCGTTGTATGCGGATTTAAAAGAACTAAACAAAGCAGTGGACCTAAGAAAAAAGCACTATAAACTGACGGAAAACTACTTTCTTACATTTATAAAGCACTCATTCAAAAAAGTATTGGAGCTTAGACAGTTTAAGGTAAGTAGTTAGTTTAAGTTAAGTTAAGCGTTTATTATTTAACCCCAACAAAAGTGATTAATTACACTTTTTATTGTTCTAGGGTTCCATAGAAATTAATATGGAACAGAAAACTCTAACCTTGATAGTTATGCCTCAACGCGGGTCTCAAGTGTTAACTGCAACTTCAAACTTATCAGGTGGAGAAAGGTCGTATTCTACTGTTGCTTTCTTGTACGCGTTATGGCAGTGCATGGATTTTCCTTTCTATTTTTTAGACGAATTCGATGTTTATATGGTAAGTTGAAACCAAAGTTCGGAACTTTTTATTTTAATGAAATCTTAACAACTTAGGATAAACTAAACCGTACCAAAGTCATCGACATCTTGTTGCATTATGCTAGTTCAAAGCCTGATTTACAATTCGTATTTTTAACGCCGCAAGACGTATCATTTCTACAGCTTGTAGAAAAGAATGTGAATCTTTTAAGGTAAGCGTAGTGTTCAACGTTCATTTCTGATGTATAATAATGATTCTTTTTAGATTGGAGGACCCAGAGCGATTCAACTTATAAAATATATGTATGTTAATTTGTTATCTTCTTACCTACTTTAAAAACTGTTTTGTAGATTTGAGTCATGATATGTCTAAATTACTATTTTATGTCATAATGGACCAAATCTCGTAATTTGATCATAACAGTATAAGATATTGAAAAACAAAGTTAATTTTAATAAACTAAACTATTTAAATTGTTACGATATTGTCTTATTTATTTGAGAAGCATCGATTGGAACAGAGCAATTTCTTATTATTTGTCTCGAGAATAGTATTAGAATTACTCTCGAAGAAAAGCTGATAAAGCGAAGTTTCTGTTCGCAAAAGTTTAAATTTCTGGGAAGGCACTTCCAATCATATTTTTTCCTCTGTATCGATAAGTGTACGTTCTAATAATAAACTTATTCCCGTTCATTTTCAAGGGGCAAATCCTATCCGCCCTCAAAACGAAGCAGGTTGTGTAAAGAGCCATCTCCAATTCCGGACTGGTACCGACAAACATTGAACCCACTGGCTTATCAATATCATGGAATGTGAAGTGGTATTTTACGATAGCTCCTTTCTGAAAGAACCCACTATTTGATAATAAATTCGGTAATTTCAAACGGAACATTTTAATGTGCCATTTGAAATAAAACAAACCTCTCCCAAATCTAGTTTTTTTAGATATCCTAAATAATTAGCTCGTCCTTGTGACTCCTCCTCGTTAAAGTATAGCCAATTATGCAAACCAGACACTTGGTTGTTCTTGATTTCTGCTACAAAGACGTGCTCAAACCCGCTGGAGCCGATTCTGCCATTACCTCTCGAGTACATGTTAAACCAAATTTGACGAAGCAAGTCTTTGAACTCCTTAGGATCTTTGCCAATTTTTTCTAAAACACATCACTTACATGTTCATGTTATTGACAATTTAACTATAACACTAGAGGTGTGGAAAAGGTAACTAATCTCGATATTAAAGCATATAAGATGTTTCGTACCTTTTTGCACTAAAAAGTTTCTAGCAAATTGCATTACAGGCGTTGCCAATATCGCATCTAGGAAATTATTTTCTTCGATCCTCTCTTGGCCTGTGTACACTTCATTTTGCCCCGCATCCAGAAAATAATTATTGTAGAGTAGAACAATCTTCTCTATTGAGGGAATTTTGAAGGCTGGATCAGCAATGTTTAATAATCTGAAAATTATTATTTACGTACACAAAAGACCGTAAAACCCTGAACACTTGATTACGCTTTAGGAGCTTCGTCACTGGATGACCTAGACGATGTCATGCCTTGTATGTTTAACGTTACGTATTTCATGGCATTATTTGTGTCTTTTCGCAATATGTTTTCTGCAAATTCTCGCAATTCATCATCTGAGGCACCCGAACCGTCATTGGTATTTTGTGGTCTTTTAGATTCTTCCTCTAACTCGCTCACCGGCCCTGTGGAAGGAACTGTTGGTGTTGGTGCTTTTGAGGTAGTGGAAGATGGGGGAGGATGAGGTTGAGGTTGTTTGGGCCCAACGGCTCCCGCGTAACTCAAAGGTTTACTCGTAGGGGACGTTGGAGGCCCAACACTTTGTTTGTTTCCATTTAAGCCATTTATCAGAGCTTGCTGATTATGGTTGGGTAAAACCTGCGGTTTTAAAACCGTATAAGTATCTCCTCGATTTAAAGGAGGCCGTCCACTAGTAGTAGCAGGCTGTTGAGCTACGCCAGCTCTAACATTTTGGACATTACTCTTAGGATCTTTAGTTTGAGATGTTCCCACTTCGCCACCAGCTGAGGCCTGTTCATTTCTAATCCATATATTGTTTTGTTGGATCCATTTCTTCGGACTTTGTGTTGCCGGTCTACTCGTTCGCTTATTGCTGTTTGGCCTGGGAGTAGTTGCGGCTCTCTGTCCTAATGCCGGCCATGGCGTTGTACTTTTTGCACTAGATACTGCATCGGAAGATATTTGAGCAGAGCTTTGGGCGTTCTGCCGAGATTGGCTTACTTCTGCACCTATTTTTTAATTATCTTTAGATTGCTAGTTGAAAAGGAATTGGAGGTAATCTTACGGTGCATTACATCCGAAGTTGAGATTATTATTCTGCTTTTATAACCCACTAATTCTCCAATTTTCACATAGGATATTGCACGGAAAGTACAGTCGATATGTCTTAAGAGGAAAAAAGCCGCAAAATCTCAACTTTGGAAACACTCTATTTATCCAGAGTTCCGAAACCCATGTTTAAAATCGTAAATCATACAATAAGAGTCAAAAAGTGGTAGTGCTACATATATACAGGCTGATTCAAAGTTGGCATCCTTTCTTAGGGATGATTCGAAGATGTTTGTAGTTGAAAATGGAGGGAAATTTTGTATCGCAATGCATTGGTTCAAGTAGGTATAATATGTATGTATTTCTACGGGAAAATTGCTTCCGTTTGGGTATAATAATACATAAAACTGAAATATTAGGGCAATTTTTCATGCCGTCAATTTATTTGCCGTAAAAAATACATTCTTGGACGGTTAATATGGAAATTGTTAAAGAGAAACAAGTTTAAGACATTCTATTGCATTATACATAGTAACATGATGAAAAAAATAACTTAATAGATGTTAGCGGCGTAAGGAACTTAATAGTACTGATACTGAAAAATCTATACGGATTTGACGATCGAGTGTACATTTGATATAAATGTAACAGCAAGAAATAAGCGCATAAAAAGATACTAGATATAGAATTTACAGCATTTAATCAGCTAAAAGCGGGGGAAAATTCCCTATTGCCCATGCAAACGCCTTCCAGTTGGACCTATAGAGTCCCTCAAGCTAATGTTGCTTAGTTGAAGAACCGCCTGCTTAAAATGCGTTGTAGGTTAGTAATGAAACTTAAAGCAAAAATTACTCTTGTATTGTTATAGTTGCAGGTATGAACATGCAAAATATCTAATTAAGTACCATCAGAAACCAGTCCAATTCGCGTTTCAAATCAACCCCAAATACTTACAAAATACGTCAATAAGTACCAAGCTGCTAATAATCACAATTATCGCTGTTAGCGAAGTAGATGCCATTTCCTAGTTGCTTCTAAGTTTTGCTAATATTAAATGATTTTATCAGAACTATGGCACGGGTTTTCACATCGTTTTTTGCCTGATTTAACGCTACAGCTGCCGTCTGGTTAGTTCACTTTCACTTTGTTTCACTTTTTAAGGTCAAGACGCGTTATCTGCCAGTAATAAGTTAAATTCTAAATCAATCCTGTTACAGTTAATAGCAATAATAAACAAACGTTTAAGGTTATCTCAGTCTCAGTTAAGGTCGACAAGGTTGCCAACAGAATCTTTAATATGTCTCAGTCAGCTCTATAAGTGTTTTCCCCTTCTCCAGCACGTTTTCATATGCTCTAGTAGTTGCTCTCTTACTGCCATCTAGATTTGACAATAAAACTAAACTTATAACTAAGGAAATGTTGCGTGATCAAACTGAATGCTTGACAAAGCAAATTATCTTACTAAGAAGTTCAAATTGATTAACTTTCTGGAAGTTCTTCTATACTAAAAGAATGCTACTAGCTACTAATATCTCGAAAATACTTCGAGATATCTACTTTGAGCAAAATATTTTTTTGTATAAAAATCATCAGAGAATAAAACGTGAACAATAGTAATTTGCTATTTTATAACACCAAAAAATTTTTAGTGTTTCAAATGTCTTGAACGAGCAGCAGAGGTTCTTAGAATTGTTACGAATTTATTTATTAACACTTAAAAAATGAAACTAAAAAAAACACAGCCACGAAATTTTGTACATACTGGTACTAGTTGAGCAGCTATTCGAAATAACCGAAAATTGTATTTAAACTTTGACCCCTGTATATTTATTAGTTATTCAATTTGAAAAATGAAACTTCATTATTTGCTCTCGGAAGGGATTGACCTACCGTTGTGTAACACCCTGTATAAGAAATATATACATAAAGTGGGGAATTTCTGTGAATAGAAAACCAAATCAATACTATATAAGGTATATTTTTTATTAATGATAATAAAGCATTTAAATATATAACATACGGGCAGCCGCAAAAGCGTTTTTCTCGTTCGATGCTCTTTTCTTTGGCTTGCCTGTATACTGAAGCAATTTATACGTTGCTTCGCTTTGCATACATTATATAATACAGTTTAGTAAGGAGTATTGAAATTTGCAACAGTACCCTGTACATATAAAAAATAATTGTATAATTCTGTTTGGATATTTTACTAACTATTGCCTACTTGGAATACTTCAATTCCTAACTTCCTTTAAACAGTATGTATTTAATATGGTAGATAATTAGTGTAGTTCAGCAAAGACGCTCTGTTCAGCAGTTTCCTAAAATGCATTATTTGCGTGAAATAATATGGGGGTTTCATATACGTTCATGTTACCTTAGTTTTCTGAAGAGTCTCTTCCCAGTCGGTTTTGCCCATTTTAGGTACAAGAGCTAGCAACAGCTGTATCACCTTTTTTACATTTTGCTGAAATATTTCCAACACGTTCTTGTGGGTCACTTTCTCTCCCTTGTCTCTCCAGCAATCATAGTCTGTGGCCATAGCTATAGCCGCATAACATAAGCCGATTTCTTTAGCTAAGACAATCTAATGAAAGAAAAGCTTATAATTTAACATAATTCGAGATTTAACACTAAACAACCAACTCACCTCTGGAACTGAAGTCATTCCAATCACATGAGCTCCCCAACTCCTAAACAAATTGCTCTCCGCGCTGCTCGAGAATCTGGGGCCCTCTATGACTAAAATGGTGCCACCATCCCTGACTTTGACTCCAGTTTTCTTGGCTGTTTCTAATATGACCTAAGAGATAGTTCTTACTAAAATATCTCTTGCTTTGCTAACTCAGGCAATACCTTTCTAGTATGTTGGCAAAAGGCTGGTTCCATTGGCAAATGGCAAATCCCTTTCAAATGATTGGGTTCACCGTCATAGAAGGTTTGTTTTCGATTAGTGGTTCTACAATGAGCTATAAAGATCTGGAAGAGTTAGCACAATGACGATCTTACCTATCAATGAAATTATCGATGACCACTAAGTCTCCAGGAGCGATTTCTTCTTGAAGTGAACCACACGCATTCGTAGCAATAACATGGGTACATCCTTCTTCTTTGAGAGCCCACATATTTGCCCGATAGTTAACATTTCCTAATGGCAAGGCACATTTTCAACCACCATCAGTAAACCGCAGATTTAATATTACCTGGCATAATATTATGTTTGATTCCATGTCTGGCTAGAATCACCACAGGAACTCCTTCAATATCTCCTACGATCAAATGGTCTGAAGGGTCTCCGTAAGGAGTGGACACTACTTTCTGAGTCCGATTCTTAAGAATATCAGGCTCATCTAAGCCTGAACCTCCTATGATGCCAATCTGAAAAAATCGTTCTTAAATGTTCGACTTAATGACTCATACAGCGTACATTAAATTTCGTGTTGAATTAAAAAGTTTTTAAAAAAACAATTTCTTAATTTTTTTTAACATATAACAAATAATATAGGAAGATCAAATAAAATGTCCCTAAATAAATGGTGAAAATTTTCCTAAAATCCGTAGAAGACAATACTCATGACTTTTTCCCAAACTTTCTGTTTACAAGAAAAGTTATAGGTGCATATAGAATGCCATATAGCTACTGCTATCTGCAAAACTACTGCTATTTTAACCTTATAAGAACCGGTTTTCAATCGATCTACCTGAAGATTGAAAATATTTCTTGTACCCAGAAGTTTGAAAAATTGTGAAATAAATTTTTAAAACGATATTTTTACGTTGGTTTATTTCTTGCAAATATACAAAAAATTATAAGAGTGCGCCGACTATGTATATGGTATGCTTATTGCACGTAAACAGGTAAATGTAAATATCGACATTTTATATGGCACACTCGAATGTTTACGTTGAATTCGAAATTCCAACAAATAATGAGGGTTTTCACGTGTATTCAATTTTTTGTCAAACAAATCAGCACATAGAAATAATTAAATACGTTTCATTTTTTCAAAAAAAAGTTACATACTTTACACTTTTCTGAAAAACAGATTGTTGAATTTTAATCGATTTTATTCCTTTCGTTATGCACCACTGTATGTTTAAAAGCTACTACTTTTTTTAGGAAGACTTCTCAACTTTAGAAGAGTTTCACTGAGTGCAAATTCGTTTATGCTGCATACAAAAGTGTGTGTGTAAATGTTAAGTTGTTTTATTTTTAATGTCGCAGATTTTCAATTAGCAAAGATAAGTAAATAAGGTAAACCGATTTATAAAAGATACACACATTCATTACTTTTACATTTTCTTTTAGTAGTATCTGTAAACTGATAACATTGTAGTTTCGCGTTAATCTTTTTATTGAGTTTTACAATTTTATAGCCGGATGGAAATGAAAATGTTAATAAACAATTAGATACAAAGTTGCTAGTTGCTATATGGATTAGTGCAAAACTAATTAAAAAAACACCATATAAATCTGATACGACTCGCTTTTGTTAATCTACCTGAAAATTGAAGATATTTATTATGTCTACTTATACCTGCTAACTTTGTCTATTATTTTGCTGAAGTTTTCAGGTAAAATACGTTCAACATTTTTTTCCCAATTCAAGTAAATTTACAGTTGCGCCCACTGCATCTCTGCTGATATAAAACTTCGACCTATTTCAAAACGGTTTTAGCTTCAAAGTTTTCTATTTTTTCAGCTATCCATACAACAGAGACGTAAGAATTAGACGAATTACATAATTCCTTCATAAAAAATTGCGACTTATAACTTAATTAACTGTTTGACACGCTGAGAGCATAACTTTGTAATAAAATCGAGTCCAAGCGAGCCGCTGGATTGGACTTGCAGGTTGCTAATAATCAAATCCTCCAACATTTCCGAAAGCTGTATCAGAAATTTAAATATTTGTCGTATTATCGATTAGTCGTCATGTTTTCAAATTTGAAGCCCTTTAAGGATAAATTGAGAAACAATAATGTAGCATAGAGTCTCTCAAAAAAACAACCTTTAAAGGTGTTTCAATTGAAACACTTCTTTAGAGGTTAAGAAATTCTGATAAAATCCAATTTGAACAATTTCTTTGAATTGAACCAATTGTCCAGTTTTCTGAACGATCATATTTTCAAGCATTTTGAAGATGAGGGTTTTTTTTTATTCGAGGTGTTTGTAAAATTCTCTTCTTCATTCTTTATTAGTTTTTTATGAGTAGATTTTAATAATAAACCCTAAAAATTTTGCTATAATAATATAATACTTCAGATAATAGAGATTCTGTGCGATTTTAAGCCACTGACCTGATCAGATAATTTATCTAATAAACATTTAAAGCAATTGTGGGAGATTGAAACAATTTTATTAACTAAACATTTTTCTATTTGTACCAGGATTCATTCTACTGCCAGAGTAAGTTTGAAGGCATTTTTTGCTTAAATTTAATAGCGCCAGAATACATAACAAATATGTACTCAAAGACACAGTACGGTATGTACCTATAAAGCCGGACTAAACTGCAAAAAAATATTGATATTGCCTGCTCGACACAGATAATGGCGAAATTTGTCCAAAATACCTTTGAATCACATAGGAAAATCAATGACAGTTAATTAATTAAAGCAATTTTACCTTAATTTTTGAAGACATTCTGAACCGTTTGTCCTAGACTATTAATCTTAACTGAGAGATGAACCGACTGAACAAAAGTTGAAAATCACTTTCTGATAACACTAGACCAACGAACTTATTTCGGAGATAAATGCTGTTAAAAGATTACAAGAAAAATGTAAATAGGAAAATTCTAAACCTTCATCAAAACCATCAAAACTTAGGTTATTAAGGTTATTAGAGATTTGTTTGAATATAAGAGGGGGGTTTAAAAGCAGTGTTGGCAGTGTTGCGAAAAATTGACTAAAGATTTGAATGTCAAACATAAATGTTAATGATAAGAATATTAAAAKCGAATTATTCCATCATTATCAGCTTTAAATGAAAAATATGMATGCCGTTGTAAAAAAAAAAACACTTTGTGATGTCGATTTGAGCGGAAAGTAATAATTTAACGTTCTTTAATCATTAGTAAAAGGCAAAGATGATCAAAAATCTAAACAGCTATGAGAATCATCTGCAAARAGACAGTGAGTTGCGTTTACTGATTTTAAAAATTGTGYGTATATTTTTAGAGATTTGAAGATTTATTGGAGATCTGGCGAAATGGTCCTAGTGACTGTTCAGATATCTTTAACTRCTTTCAAATAGAAACTTTTTTTTGTAAGATTCTTGTAAAATTTGATAGTTTTTCTTTTAACTGTTTAAACCTTAGGAATTTCTTATCAAGTATAAGTAGGAAAAGGCAGCCCTTTAGACGCTGTATCAAAGAGTTCATAATGACTTTAGTTAGAAACAAGCAAAGTCAGAATGTTATAATAAAAAACGTTAAGGAACTTTTAGAGTATCTTCAGATAACTTGAATGAAGAGAACACTTACAATCGGCCATAAATTAAATAGTAATTCTCCAATTCGTTTTACTTTTTAATTATTTCGTTATTTGTGCCATGTGATTTATGTTTTTATTGTTATTAACTTATTCATTTGAACTTGTGTTATTGTGTATGTATGTTAATTAATTATAAGGATGAGCTAATATAATTGGAATTATTAGAACTATAAATATGGCCAATTGCACCGTTGCTGCTTAATATATCCAACGATTACTTAAACCATGGTTAGTTAAATAAACTTCAGACAAAATCGTTTTTAAGACTAAGATTAAAAATAAACCACGATTTAAGTTTTTTTTGCTTTTCATTCATGATTTCCTATTAGCGTCAGTCATAGAGTTCTATTGAACCACATAAAGACTAGCTAGAATTAAGAATTAAAGATATCTATCTAGATGTTCTCATAGCCATAAGGTGATAATATCATCCCCAAAATCCTGATAAGGGACAATTAAAGTTCACCCCCAGACACGCACCACACGGAATTCCGATAGTTTACTTTAAACCGAAAGATAACCATTGTTCTCGAAAGTGAAAATATTTAAAATATTAGTCTGGAAACTGCCCATTAACGTTAATCCGTCCTTTAAATCTCCAAAATTAGTGGATTAAATTTAAACTTCAGTTAGACGCTGACGGTGCAACTAAATACGTAATCTGCGTTCATTTCAAGTATACCTAATTTACTAAACCGTTAGTAATTTTTCTAAATTATTTTAAATTGCAGATTTGAACATTTTACCGGAAACGTGTTACTTAACAATTGATGAACAGGTAGGATAGTGTTCGGATTCGTCAATCAGCTGATTTTGACAATCAGGATTCGCACTATCTGACGTACATCTTGGCCTTTTTGTCAACAACATTGAATTTTGTGCTGAAGTAATTTCTGAATAAAAATCAATGGCAGGGTCATCGGTAATAAATCCCCTGAAATATATAGTGAACAGACAATACAGTGATCGTTTAGTGATAAAAAATCGAATATTCAAAGAACGGTTAGCCAATGCTAAAAATTTTTACAGAAAGGACTTGGTTGCCCACTATGGGTGTGTGAATGCCATTGAATTTTCCGACGAAGGTGAACTATTGGTTTCAGGTAATGATTTCTTTTATTTTTCTATTCATCGTTAAGGCAAAGTTACATCTTTAAACCAGACAAATTCGATTATTCCACTTGTTTCAGCTGGTTTAAAAATCATGATTAATGTGGACCGATTCAAAAGTCATAGAAAATGGTTGCCATTTAGAAAGTTGCACTTATCACACTTATTACACTTAACTAATTGATTGTTGATATACATCCTGATACGGATATTGAAATTAATTTTAATTTATAGTTACAGTCGGGGATGACAACTATTTTTAGTGCTTCAAATTGAATTGTTTCAAACGGCAGTATGGTTTAGTAGCCAGGCCATTTCTAAACCAAATTTTCTTTGTAAATGGGCAACATATGAACAGATTGTGTCTTTTTAAACCTTGACACGGGTTTCATGCGCTAGTATTTTTCATGCAATACCTATATTTGCCATCTACTGTAGCAGTTAGTCTATGCACAAATATAGGCAGGTGGTACGACTATATATCTTCAATCAATTATATTAACATGTTGATAAAGTATAAAATAGATAGTAACAAGAAACAATCAGTAAGCAAATATAACATTGCAGTCACCTCCAATAAAGCAGAACCGAAACACGCGAACACAGAAATTAAATTTCTAAAGTATTCTAAATGATCTTAGATATATCGAAGAAACTGGTGAGCACTTAGGGCTTTTAGACCGTCGTTATCGAAGAATTCGATAAGTAATTACGCCGGTCAAAAATCAAGTCAATCTAAATGTTTTTTTTTGTATTTTCCATGCATTGTGCACGGCGGACTTTGTATGAATGCTATCAGGGTTTTGTTAATGGAATTTGATTAATATACGGATTAAAGTATTTACAATAATTTGGCTGTTGTGAGAAACCACTTGAATCTCTTATTGCTTTAAACTCTTTAAAAAATCTCTGATTGCTAAAAAATATATATAGGTCATTTATTTACTCCGCGGAAAGTTATTTAACTGATTTTCAATTTTATGCGCCGTATCTTTTCTGTATATTTTGGTCTACAGCCTAAACATCAATAAGCAAGTTGCCGTGGAAAACTGATAATTCCATTCACCTACATGGAATATAAATCATGATTTTTTATGCGAATTTTTTTATTTATTATTGTAATATTATCTTCATGTTCCAGGAGGCGATGATAGGCGAGTTTTGTTATGGAACATTTCCCATGCTATTTTCGATATACGGGGCTGTTCAAGGAGTTCTTCAAGTGCATTCAAACCGGAGCCACAAGATGATGAAAGTGGGCACATGAATCCTATGTCTATGAAGAAAACACACAACAGCAACATATTCTGTGTCGCATTTGATTCAAAGAATGAAAGGATATTTTCAGGAGGCAATGACGATCAAGTGATTATTCACGAAGTTGCCTCGTAAGAGTTCGTTTATAATATATTTTTTACCTTCTTAAATTATATTACCTACATGTACATCATTGAAGAACGGATAATTCCTTGGTTTATGTTTTAAATGAATGTGTGTATTTTTCAGTGGAAATGCACTAACATCCATATCTCACAGAAAACCAGTTTATGGTTTAACTGTAAATCCTCAAAATGATGAAATTATAGCCACTGCTGGTGAGGATGGGAGACTTTTGTTATACGATATTCGGGAAGCTCCAAGCCAAGGTAATTCCCTTCCCGCATTTTTTTACATGCTTGCCTCATTACGGATTTTGTTGTAGAAGCGCAAGTGCTTGCCAAGCAAAAGACTGGTTTCCATTCTGTGATGTTCAACCCTATTAATCCTAGATTTTTGGTGTCTGCCAACTCGGAAGAAGGCATAGCTTTATGGGATTGTAGAAAACCTAAAGAGTTCGAAACTACCTTTCTGTCTGTATAACTTCATAATTGTTAAATGCTTTTGTTTTAGAGAATTAGTTCATTATGACTCATCTATAGGCAAGACCTCAGGAATTAGTGCTTGTTTTGACTCTTTAGGGAAAAGAGTGTTAGCATTGAGGAGACGCTTACCACCTGTGTTATATAATACTCAAAGCGACCAGGCAATATGTCAGTTCTATCATCCTCAGTATTACAACAGTTGCACAATGAAAACATGTTCTTTTGCTGGAGAAAGCGACGAATATGTTTTAAGTGGCTCCGATGATTTCAATTTATACATGTGGAGAATACCAGAAGATGAGGGTATTTGCTTAAATAACGCAAAATTTAAATTAGAAATCTTGATTGATTTATTTCAGACGAATGGGGTACATCACACGTTGTGCTGAAAGGGCATAGATCTATCGTAAACCAGGTCCGCTACAATAAACACAATAATCTAATTGCCTCTTCTGGGGTTGAAAAAATGATAAAGTTGTGGAGTTCTTTACATATAGGTGATTAGATTTGATTAAATAATTTACAATATGGTTGAATACACGTGATTTTAGGTACATGGGGAGGGTCCCTGTTGAAGGAGTATTCAGAGCCAGCGAGAATTGTTTACACTCATCAAGACTATGTAGATTTGGTAGGCACTAGCGGTGAAGTAAGTCTAACGTTTCGTGGGTTTTATTCGAATTTTCGCGTTTATTCGCAACGCTGTGAATAAATAGATGTTTGAATACAGTGGTTCTTGTTACTCCACTGTAAATAGCTTGTTTTTCTCTAATAGTAACATTTATTTTCGTTGTCCTTTGAGCATTTTTACACTTACTTTTCTTTGCTGAAACATCACACTTTCTCATGTAGAAGAACTATGATTTTAAGTAAATTTTGCAATTGTAGAGGATATCGCATGACTACAGTGATCAATCAACTTTGGAAGATTCAAAAATGATGTCGTTTTTCGATTCATTGATTCAACGAGAAATTGAAGGTAATTTTTAGTAGTTTAGTCACTTAGATTATATTGCTCGGGGTATATCTTCTCTGAATATAGTTTGCTTAAAAAACACATCATTGCCCATTTACCGCTTGCGTAGTAGTAATTAGACTTTTCAATTTTTACCACTAGTACTTCAAGCATATTCTTTTAGGTTGGGCTAGTTCAGAAGAATTTCAAACGACAGACAGTGGCGACTCGGACTTGGAGCACGACTACTCCAAGTTATTGCAAAGAATCTTCAGGAGCCGGAACAAAACGGTAGAGGAACCTAGAAAATACAAGTACAATAAAATAGCGCAACTAATTTCGAAAAAGCGACATCGACTGGCCAGAATGGCATATAATAAAGCGCCTGGTTCAATTAGAAAGTAAGTAAATAATGAATAATTTGTCTTTATCCATTAATTAGATGAGCATCGTAAATCCTACCTACACTTTGCATCCAAAGTTTTGTAGTTTTGTTGTTACATTGTGTGATTTTGGTTTTGCTAGGATGCAACAGCGTGAGAGGAGGAAAAGGAAGGAACGAAATGCGCTCAAATTGAAAGCCCAAGCCAAACTTAATGAATCATCGAAGAAATCGCCAAGGAAACAGTTAAACGCTTTGGAGTGTGTAAATAATAAATCTCCTAATGAAAATAGTCCAAGGCAAGATATAAGTTTTTCAATTGATTGATAGTTTATTCAAAACGACGTATATTTTGATGCAGGTCTCTCCGATATTGCACTCGATCATGCTTGAAGGAAGCATGCGAGAATGCGGGCCTGACTATGCTTTTGGACACGCCAAGTACCAGTACCGGAATCACTAACTCAAGTTCGTTAGTATATCGGGTAAGTAGTTAATTTGCCATCAGCGCACTCTCTTTAATTTTGCCCAACTTAAGGTTTTAGATCAAGATTCAGATGACGAAGCTTTGAATGTAGCTGTAAATAGTCCAGAAAACGGTTATAGTGATCAATCTTCAAATAATGATCAATCGTCAAACAATGATGGCGAAAACTTGGTTAATATAATTCCAACACCGTTGAATGGTAATATAAATACAGGATCTTTTAATTAAGTAAACACTCTTTCATTTGATTAGGTACTCAAGAGCACATATTAAACGGCTTGGAAATGTCGCAGAATAATGCTGAAGCAACTAGTACTAATGGGCAGTTATCTAACGGAAATAGCCCCAGCAATGGAATTATTGTAACAATTCGGAATAGTGAAGATTACAATAATGGAGCTTCGACTAGTAGAGGTAAGTTACTTATGGCCAATTTAAGAGTGTTTAAAAATAATAAAATTAAATACTATTTGTTTCTTTTAAGGTTCTATAGAATCTCAGCCAAGGAAACGAAAACATGTTAAGAGCTATTATGTGGCTTCAAAAAGTACCTATTTTACTGATTCAGACGAGGAAAGTGCGACAAGTCGAGTTAACCAAATTGAAGATGGTTATCATACATCTTCCTCTGATTCCGATTATGAGGAAGATTGCAGTACGCCGCCAACGAAACGACGAAGCTTCAATAATTCAGACAGTGGATGCGGCACCGGTCCAAGCAGTAGCAAGTATAATAGATTTATGAACAAGTACGTGTCTTTCAACGGCAAAAAGACTCCAGAAACGGCGCCTGGAAGTTCCCGAAACGGGCACACTAGCGACGATGAAAATAGAAATGCACGATTCAGAAAAAGAGTCCGTAAAGCACGAGTGAACCTTAGAAATCGCGCTTGTCTTAACGACTCGGATTCTAACTAAGTGTTTATGAGGTGGAAAAACTGTTTAAAAAAATTGACTGAAAACACCGTAGAAACAACTGAATTTGCATACCTTTGTATTGTGGAAGCCCTCTACATCCGATACTTTATTCACGGCATATGGGACATTTTCAGAGAGTAGTGTTTTTTCAGTGATTTTTTTTGATTTATTTGGAAGGGCTATAATTTAAAAAATCTATTCCAATTTACTGAACTAAACATGTGATTAAAATTACCTTAAATTTTAATTAGTAACGTCTCAATATTAAAAATGATTATTTGATGTATACATTATTCAAAATATATGGCGCATAAGCCAAAACATTGAGGCTCTGAAAACTCTGGAATCGAGCATTGAGCAATTTTGAATCATTATTTATTTGAGCCTGCTTTTAGTTGGGACCTGCATATTTGCCTAAACGATTTATTTTAGCAATTTATTCTATAATTATTAAAACTTATTTGAAAATTAAAAGTAAAATTTGTTATTCTTTAATGCATTTTATTTCCCACAAATAAATGTTGATCTTGTACATACAAGAGAGAAAATAAAATTATGTAATCTGTATTAATAAAACACCATTGATATTTTGAAAACTTTGTGCATTTAATATGTATAAGTAATTTCATTTTACAGCACAATTTGCTTGGTAAATAATTTACAAGCTTGAATATAACGAGTTGCTAATCTATATTAGTAAATATAACATAAAAGAAAGCTTGAGGATTATAAATTTTGCCTATAAAACCAAGCTATACGTTAACGTATAAAAACATCAATAAAAATTAAAAAAATATAAAAAGTTTGTACTAGAAAGAAGCTACAAATCAAATTTCAACCCTAAAGACTAGAAGCGGTTTTTCGTTCACAAAAATATGTCCTATATAAAACAAGAAATTTAACAACACTAGAACTTGATATTAAAATTTCATAATAGATAACATTAAGACATTTAAATGTTCTGGATAAAGACTTGATCTTATTTGCTGCTAGATTTTATTAAGTTAATTCAGCTTCTTATTGGAAGGAATGGCCTTGGTTTTGATCCTGGAATAAATTATTCGATTTTTTCTGCTTGATTCGCCTATGAGAAGACTGACTTGATGTTAAAAAAAAATAACTTACCGGTCTATGTAAAAGAGAACCTGCCAATGAACCCAAAATGCCTCCCATCGAACCCAGTCCTCCAATCGATCCCTCTCCACCAACTTGAGGAGGGTGAGGTTGTTGCTAGATAATAAAAGAGCGTATGTAACCTTGGGTTAGTTTTTTTTATTTTAAAGGTATTTCACTCTCTTGAACGTATACATTTCAAACATTTTTCTGAGCTTCGAAAAATCTCTATTTAAGTGGAAATTTGCAGGAAAGAGAGTTTTCATATGTCAAAAAACATGATTCAAAGCGTGTGCGATGCAAATCACACCTTGGACGGTTTGTTTTTATTTTGGTATTTCCTGCGGAAAGAAGCAATATTAAAAAGTAGCCTTTTTCAAATCTATGTCTTTAAACGTTTTTTCGGTCAGTTTGCAAATCGATTTTTTTCCGCAGGAAAGGCTCAAATTAAAAAACTTTATAGCTAAAACCCCCCTTTGTACATATCTTTCACACTCTCTTGAAATATTCACACATCGTTCATTACTCTGTATCCTGAGCGTAAGTGTCTTTGTAGAAAAGAGTTTGGCGATGATCTTGTAAATAATGCGGATCATTTTGGAAGGTTTTCACTTATTTTTCTTAACGTTGTTGCCTTGGACGACAGAAAAAATAGGATCCCTGCTACGTAGTTCTGGTAGTTCATTTTAAAAGAAAAAAGAGCTAACCACTTGAAACTTTTAATTTGATTTGTGACTAATTATAAATTGACTATTATATTGTTAAACTAAATTATATGTATTTTCTCGGATGCGTTGGCAAGTAGCATATACAATGTTTGCGATATGATTAGATATTAATTTGTTCTTAAGATAGGTCGTAAGATCTCTACTTTTACATTTTGTAGATAAATGCATCTGTAAAGTACAACGCTATTAAGATGTATTTATTACTCACTTGTTGTTGACCACCTCCGCCTGATAAAAGTCCTGACAGCAAAGACTCCATCGGTCCCCTTTGCTCCTGTTGTGGAGGATGAGGATACTGTCCATATTGCTAAGAATTTAATACAGTTACATTAGTTAAAACTGTAGTTAACGAAAGTATATTGTCAGATGTTAGTATACCAGGAATCGTATTAGCATTGATGTCAAGCAGATAGGAACCGTATGGTACATTTGTGTTCCTCAGTTTATTCATTATTATCAAATATTGGTGATTGTTTATTCACGCAAAACGCCCGACAAGTATATAAGTAAACTCACTTGTTGGGGATTCTGTGGAGGTCCAACATTCTGAACCACAGCGGCAGGATTTGTTTCCTGGATTGGTCTTGTACTGTCATGTTGCTCTTTAGCCATGCTCATAAATCCCTGCAGTAGATTTGCTAGCATATCTGTTCCCCCCTGCGGAGCAGAAGGGTTGTTTGCATTCGGAGCTTGCGGAGGTAAATTGGGTGGCTGGCCCGAATTGCTTGTATTTCCACCTGCGCTTAGGTTCCGCAGTATGTTGCTGAGCGCATCGTTATTTCCTTGGGTCTGGCTTTGTGGACCTTGATTTTGCTGAGGCTGACTGGGGGACGCCAAGCTAGATAATAAGCCAGCCAGTAGATCAGAGCCTTGGCTTTTATTCTGAGCATTAGCTGGTGGCTGATTTGGAGCTTGCGGGCCGTTCTGATCCTGCTTTGGCGAAAGAAGGCTGGATAGAATTCCAGATAATACGTCTGAGCCTTGCCCTTGACTACCTTGTGGCGGTGCTTGTCCCCCAGGTCCTGTCTGGGGAGCGTTTTGTCCCTGATTGCCTCCACTCACCAGACTAGATAACAGCCCGGATAATAAGTCTGATCCGCCAGATTGGGCATTTTGCGGTGGTCCAGGCGCGACATGTCCATCTGTTTTATTACTCAGCAAACCCATTAAAAGGCCCTCTAAAGGACCAGCATTTTGAGGAGGCGCTGCTGATCCTCCACTTTGAAGTGTGGGTTGGGGACCGGATGTTACGGTGCCTCCAGAACCAGCAATTAGATTGCTAAGAGCTGAATCTTGAGAATTTGAATTGCTCGTAGGCTGAGTGGGTATTTGAGATGTATCCTGAGTGGGGAGGTCAGGGTAGATTCCGTATCTCTGAAGTAAAAGCGTTATGGAGGTTAGTAATTTTGGGGATTTGGTTTATACAATATTGATCTTTTAGAAGGTACGAACAAAAAATCAATTTTTTTCTCAGATTTAAACGAATCGTTTGCGGGCTAATGTTTGTTTTGAAAGCTTTGTCTTATTTCTGCTCATAGAATATGAAATTAAAATTATGCAACATAATTTTGACGCCCCCTTGTACTAAGTAATTTATTGTTGCTTCCAATTTCTTAAAAATTTGTTAATTTCACAACACTGATAGGATAAATTCCAAAGAAAAATAAGGCAATGACGCTCATTTCTCTTTTACTTTTGGAAACATATTGTTTAAAACATTCATTTTATTTTTTATAGTATATTCTTGGCATGTAGATATTATTCTTAGGACTGATTTGCTCCCGATTTCGCAGCTTTATTTATTACTATGTGTTAGCGCCTAATTATGGTTTCCATTGGATGATTTAAAACTTGTTGCTTAAAATAAATTTTACTTAATTCAGGCTGAAAAGCCATCGGAAAAATTAAACAATGAAGGTGGTGATAGTTTATCACACACGAAACTGCAAAGAAAAATAATATTCAGGCCAAAAGATACACTATTAAAAAACATAATGTTTCATACCTTTTGTTTATTTCTATAATTGCGCTATACTTTGTTCATTGCATTAAATCAGAATTTTTTTTTGTAATATTTATTGATCTTTCATTTTGCTAAAATGATTCAATAATACTGAGGGTAACAGACAATTTCAATATTAATTACGAATTTTCTACGTCAACTTTGAAAATCAGGAGAGAAAGAATAAACAATCACCAATTTTCGTCTAGTTCTTGCAAACTATATTCAGCTAATTGTGCTCTTTACAGCAATTAATTATGTTTATAGATCCTTATACTCATACACAAAACGTGCAAAAACCCGAATCAATGTAAAATGTGCAAGTACAGAAGTTCCATTTCGCAGTGGTTTTAAAATATTTAATTTTCTTTTTAATTAATAGTTTTTATTTAAAAACAAGTTTGGGTTTTTTTGCAAATCTTAGATGCTTTCGATAAGTGCAGCAAAGCAGAAAATGCGACGAATTTAAGTTGTTTTTGAATTTTATTGCAATGAATTTGGTTGGCAATATTCAATGATTATTAATAAAAATAATAATAATCAATATGTTACTTTATCTATACTATAATATATTTACGGTTTAGTTGCAAAAATTTTATGTTTATTTTTATGTAACGTTAAATGAAAATGAGCTATTTATTACTACACTTAGCTAAAGTTTAAGAAAAGTCTCAAATGACGATTAAGAAGATAAGTTTGCTCTCTTGAGAATCTTTCAATCGGCCGTTCGGAACTATCGATCAATCGCGATAATTCAGTCACGTAAATTATTAGCTCGGTTACGAAGAACCTTACAATAGAAAAAATGACCACTATATTTAAATGCTGCGAAAATTACTGTTGTACCAGTTCAAATCTTGATATTGCAGTCAATCTGATCTGGAATTATAGATCTGTTTCTTCTGCAATTTAAACTAAATACATTATTTATTTATAGAATACTCAATTTTTATTATTATATGTATTATTACATATAATAATAAAAAGTGAGTTATTTCCATGATTAACATATATTAGAAGACAATTCTACTGATTCAATCTGTATATATTTTTTTCTTGCTTTATATACCTAGTACCATTTTCTAAATGTTCGTTATTATTAAAAAAACCACTGCGAGGACTCACGAAGTTACATACAGTTAGATGTTAATAGCATAAAGCAATTCAACAAGTCAGAGCTAAATTGAAACAAAAAAATTATTGAAATGTTCAATCAAACTAATTCTTGTAAATGCAAGAATAAACTAAATATTAAGCTTTATGACTGGAACTTTCGAACTAGAGCAAATCCAAAAATTATTTACATCATGCAAAAACAAATCATGCCAACGGATCTTGCAAATAAATTTACCATGCCAAATACCAAAAAAATGGATGATTGTTTATTTTGAATTTTATACTGAAATTTTGACTGCAATTTATTGATCGATTACATTGCTCCCACCTTATTAGTCTTCATTTATCGGCCAAAAAATTAGATAATAAGCAAATACTCAACAAAAAAAAATTGTTATTTTATCTTATATTAAGCGCTTACCGCATTTTGCGGTGCATATCCTTGAGGCTGCTGATTCGGCTGACCACTTGAACTTAAAATGCTACCCAATAGTTTTTCTGCAGCTCCACTCTTGATAGCACCGGCCAATATATCTTGAGCCTGCTCAAAGATGCCGCCAAATTGGGATTGCGGTTCGGCCTAATGTTTAATTACCAAAAGATATTCATTTACAATAATTGTGAACTAGAAAACTACTTACTCCTGGAGGTGGAGGAGGAGCATACCCTCCGTAATTTGGAGGTGGAGCCCCATAAGCACCAGGTGGCGGCCCATATTGAAATTGAGGAGCACCTTGAGGACCTTCGGCGTTTACTTGGGAAGATTGACTAGATGTTTCGTTTCCTGCAACAAAATTTAACGAGTTTTAATTTGAGCCGAAGACTTATTGACAGATTGTTGTTACCAGGAAGCGGAATTCCTTCAAACGATATCAGAGTTAACGCGACGTCGCCGTCTACTAAAAGATGGGATACTTCTTGATAAGGAATTCTGTGAGGGAATTCACAGAAATGTTGTCCATTAACAGCAATCTGGAATTTAAGAAGACTTTTCAACGGTTTTATTTGTTAAAAATGTAATCGGCAAACAAATTTAGACAAAAAATAACGGCATTTAGCTGAAGGTTTGATAATATTTTACATTACATTAAAAACTACTTGATTTATAGCTTGGCCCTGCTTTAAAATTACTTCATAGCTTTTGTACGAATAAATTTAGTGACTAACATTTTGCGAGTTCCTGTAATTATCAAAAATTTATCATATTCAAATATAGATTTTACCACAGGCGATTTACAAGTTACCAGGAAGTAAACCTACATTTTATATTATTTCAATTAGAATTTAGTCAATTCGTTGAAAATTAGACATTGTCTAATACAGAACTTAACATTGAAGATATTTAAAGTTACAGTCAGCAAAAAAAATATTAAACAAGTAATGGAAGATCAAAACGTACCAACCAGTTTTAAATACTTACTATGATTAAAACAAATAAGAATCGATACGAATAATTTACTAAAGAAATGTAGGTGTCAATAAATGGTTTTTATTTCGGTTTTTATTTCTAGCAAATTAAAAAATGTTTTTGGTATCTTTCCACTCAATAAATAAATTGCCTCGTTTATTGCATAAAATATAACTCCGGCAGTTTTTTTCATAAGGATGCAAGTTAACATTTTCAACAATTAAGGTAAAAAGTAATACTTAATTAAAATTTTAACTCGTAATGGAATATTTTACTGAACATTTTTTTCTGGAAAACGAGGCCTAATACGAGAAATGGTTAAGTGAAAAATATAGCTATTTTATTAGCTTTTCTTTAAAAAGATAATGAAATTGTAACAAACTACAGTGTTTAGGCAATAAGTTCTCTTCTCTAAGGGAGACTTTTTCAAATAATTCGACAACGGCTGTAGCTACGATAAAAATGCCAAAGACAAAAGGATTTTAAAATAAACGTCGAATTTAAACGTTGGCAATATTTTGATTTATTAAACTGTGATAAAATTAGATAAAATTATCACACAAACAGTTGTGCAAAAAGTTTATAGTGTAGAACAAACTTAACTGAAACTAATGTGCGCTATGCCAGAGTGTTGCTAGCAGAAAATGAGGAGTCTAATTACTTACTTACCTTGTAATGTTGAGGATCCACCAGGATAATAATTTCAAAGCTTTGCGCCTGACCAATAGGCAATTTTCCACTGCCTTGTTCATCACCCCAAGCGCCCCCCTTGTAAATGTTTCTAGCAATGTAGCCTACAAGTGAAAGCAAAGAAATAGAGAAAGTTTGAGTAAATCTGCAAATCCCTTACCTTGGTTGAACCTCACAGAAACGTGCAAAGCTGTATCATCCCTGGGCTTAGCATTTGGACCAGTTGCCAAGTTAATGTTAAACCTGCAAACGAGTCAAACTTGTATTCTATTAAATTAGTTTAGATTCTAATGTATTGTTTACCTATCGCTATCTGGATGAGTTACTCCTTGAAACCTGAGCATTTTCCCTGCCTGCAGTCCTGAAGGAACTTCGCCGACGAATGGCAATTCCTAGAAAGGAATCCTCTATGAAAATGCCACTTTAAAGCAGTAATATTTCACTCAATTGTTTAGCAAATACTTACAGGATTAACAATAGGTTCAGCCATACTGCGATCACTTGATCAGTGTAAATGGCAATTTTCTGAATATATTCACCTGTATGTATACCTAAAAAGAAAATATTTTAGTACGTACTAGTCACGGGATTTAATTGATATTATTTTACGTTACGTTAAAAATGCTGAAAGCGTAGTAATTTTAAACGCTCGAAATGATTGGATACAACAGTGAGGAAGATATCGCCTTGAAACTTGGAATAAAGTGATGTAATTTCTATTTATACGGATTTATTAACGATTTTAAGAAACAGGGTCTATTTGGCTCATCGCCGAAAATAACTTCAAAGAATCGGCTCGATTCCTTTTAAAGTGGAAACTTTGAGTGGTTTTGTGGGTATGTAAACTAATGCATACCTTGTGAAAATTTCAACTTCAAACACAGTGGTTCATTTATTGATAATTTACAATAATAAATACTGAAAACATCAGCAATCTTAACCTGAGATTGTCAGAAACAGCTGTTTTGTCATTGCCACATGACGTCTATTAATTAGTACAGATTACAGAAACTATCGGTGCAGGTAGAAGGAAGTGTCGACTTAACCTAACAGATGTCTCTGTAGGAAAAACCTTTACGTACGTTGTCACACTGCCTCAATTTTCTGAAATTGCTCAGTGGGTCGTCTTCTTAGGATAAAAATCCTACATATATTGTCCGCAAATGCAAAGTTCCTAAAGTGATGATCGGCATTGCGGTATCTTAGTAGTAATGTTTTCATTTATTAATACAAAACAAGCGCTTTTAATAGAGAGTGAAACGATTGTTGATGGAGTTTTTGTTTACAACATGGCAACAACGGAATTCAAAATCAGCAATGGCGACAGTCACATTTTTCAGTTCAGTTTCATGCAGCTCGTGTTCCTTGCGCTTGTAGGTTAGATCGTTTGTTGTAAAAAAAACCAAAAAATAAACATGAACGGGTCTCCTAGAAAAAAACAGCGTACTGATGTTCAAGAAAGCATCGTGACTGTGATTTTGGGGGCACAATGGGGCGATGAGGGCAAGGGAAAAGTGGTAGACTTGCTGGCTACCACTGCCGATGTAGTTTGCCGGTGCCAAGTGAGTTATGCAATATTTTGATACAAATTTGTTCCCAATGTTTGCGATGTATTGTTTAAATAACACTTAACGAAACTGTTTTTCTCATAGTGAGCTTATGAGCCCTTGACATGGTGCAATAGATCTGCATTTCATTAAACTTCACTCAAAATCATTTGGTTGTTTTCAGTCACTGTCACGAAAATCATCTGACTACCTATTTTGAATTATGATTTAAACGTTTAAACCATTTGTTTCAGATATTTTTAGATATATTTGCTGCATGTGAACGAACGTTAATAATGCAGTGTAAATTTTTGATGTTTTAAGACGCCTGTAATTTAGGTCCTTTTCAACATAAACCGATGTGGTTTTAGCTTGTTTAATGTTCAGGTTTAATTAACCGCAATTTTGTGACGAAAACGGTTCGCTATTTTTATTTATTATTGCTTACTGGTGTCAATCAAGTGTTCATCCTAAATGGAAATGACCTCTGTAGTGTGCCAAACACAAATATTGGCATCTGTTAGCATTACCAAAACATTGAAATTATTTTCTTACATTACATCGAATTAGGTAGTTCAAAGTGAAACTTAGCAATAGGTACATGCATCCGCTATTCCGCTATAAATGCAGGTTCACTCACAAATGCATTAGTATAGTAAATATCATTGGTGGAACCTTTGCCGCCCGCACTCTTTGTTTCCCGCTACGACACACATTTAGTCAGTGCACTTAGCATTTACAGCAGACTTTTTTTGTCTAATATATCCAAAGTATTAAAATGTGTAGGGTTATCACCGAAACTCAATACTTTATTTATAGATTTTTATCTATTTTTTTAATAATCTTAAACTACTTAATGTTAATGTGGGAGTCTGTGGAAGTGATACACACCATTCGCCAGTTGCTTGTAGCCACATTTTCTGCATTGATTCCACTTGCTCTTTCCGGTAATAGCAGCTACTAATCGTTCTTGGTGATGTTCCCTATTCAATTCTGCAATTTATCTGTAACGCTCTTTACAACTCTGCGTGCTTATATACATTTTGCTAGCTTCATCCAGGATTGCTACATCATTCTGAAGCAGTTTTTCTCTCAGCTCCGCTGAGCTGACTCCACAGATTAGGATATCCTTCACTAATCCATCTTTAAGGTCTCCAAACTCACAAGGAATTGCTAAATTTCTCAGTTCCGTAATGAACTGCTCTACCGTTTCATTCTCTGTTTGCTTATATGCCAGAAACTTGTGTCTCACAAACGTTAAGTTCTTCTTGAGCGTGAAATGTTCATCAAACTTTCTCAATAACGGTTGGATTCGATTGATTTCTTCTTGAAACACAAAGGTATTAAATATTCGCATACCTTCATCGCCAATCAGTGTTAAAAGTTGAACACACTGTGTGATTTCTGCCTTTTTACTGACTTCCGTTGCCAGCATGTACGTTTGGAATCTTTGTCTCCAGAACTTCCAATTTTCACTTAAATTTACAATCATTTTCATCGGTGGCATTCCTCTGAAGTCCACTTTGATTGAATTCGGCACAATATAAGCAAAATATATGAAGATGACACGGATTTCCCTGGATTATTTACTGTTCACGTGATTCTACCTATGACTGCGCCATGTTATATGTGGGAGTCTGTGGAAGTGATACACACCATTCATTAGTTGCTTGTAGCCACATTTTCTGCATTGATTCCACAGATTCCCAGATATAACACTTAATACAAGTCTTTTCATAAATAAATCTAAAATTCCGTTAACAGTAGCAACAGTCGAAAATTATCATTTTTGTATCAATAGATATTCCCATAATGCGATTGTTTGTTCACTAAATTTTTACTTGTACTTCTAGTTCTGGTCATTTTTATGAATGCAAACTGAAAGTTTTCATGTCCCTTTACCAGTTTTAATTGTTTCTTTTCTTTTCTCCATTCGCGAACCATTTTTGCTATTGGTGGACCAAAATGTCTTTCTCTTGCTCTGATTTATTTTTGTATTGCATAATTGTTCACATTTAGTTTATGCCTTACGTTATATTAAAGTCGTTTTTGTGTTACGCTCATTTTTCCAAGTTTTGCAATTTTTGCCATATTCAAATTTAGTTGCATATTAGTAAATTACACATTAACATGTGCAATGTATAGGTACCTAGTTTAATGATGAGATAAAGGAAATCGTCTTAGTTTCCAAAACCAAGATCCATGAAATGAAAAGTTTTCAACCAATATAAGAGCACAGTGTTGCACAAACTTAGTCATTTGCTTGTTCATAGAATGCGCAGCTGATTTTTTTGTATATAAAATCAGACGGTTGCAAAACAATCCACAATTAAAAAATATTAAAAAACCCAAATATCACAATTGATAAGTTTCACTTTTATTGCAATTGGGCTGCAAATGCACAAATGTTTACAGATCTTTTTGTCATAGAACATTGAACTCCCAATTTCTGTAGATTAATGCATTAATACTATTCTTTTATTTCTAAGTGTATCGTCTTTGGAATAAATGAATTGATTTATTGTGCCGGTTTATTTATACCTAAATGTGCGCTCTCTTCAATTTTTCTGATAGAAACCTTTCAATATGTTTTTATAGTAAAAGCTCATTAACTTTTGTATTTAGAATTATTTATTGATCTAAAAACAATACAGATTTATATCTAGAATTTATGTCTTCATTATTTTCTCGTTTTACGTCTTAAAGTTATCACGTCTTCTTTACGATTCATCAGTTCTACTACAGAAGGTCTTAAAGTGGTTAGACTCAGACAACATGATCAATATACACAATTTTTATTATAATTGTGCGGAATCTTCCATAGAAGATTTGTCATCAATATCCAACATTTTCAACTAAAAACTGCTTTAAAGTGGTTTGTAAATAGGCTGGTGATTTATCATTCATTTCATTTACATTGAAATACTTATTAATCAATTGCTGTTGTCGTTGGTTGAATATTGAAGATACCTAGTTTGGATATAAGTGAACAACATACAGGACCTGAGAGATGTACTCTCCTAACGACCAATTATTATTATTTTTTAACTTCTAAATAACAATTATTATACACCAATCCATATATCTAGATAATACTGAGTCTTAAGATAAATATTAAGAAATTTTGCAATTACAATGACTATCGAGTAACTCGTACATCAATCAACTTGGCAATAGATAAATTAGCTGAAACGAACGTTTGAAAAGTACTACTTACTTACTTACTACGTGTAAGAAAAACTGTTAAAAGTCCAAACAATACCACTGTTTAAGAGAAAAAATGAAAATGCACCTCAATATAAAGGATGCTGATAAGATAAACGGCGATAACGAAACTAATCGGTTAAAATATCGTCTACTTAAGTCTCCGAAGGCAATAGTTGATATCGCAAAAGCCAGCGAGTAGTCGATAAATACTACAAATACCTTTACAGTGCTAAAATACGAAAATAGAGAAATAATGAACAGAATTGAAAACGTCCGGTCGAACGAAAGAGGAAGTTAACGTTGCGCTGAAAACAATCGAAACTTTGAAGGCTGCCGAACCAGATGGTTTATTTCTTTAGATAATTAAAACGAATGAAGGCACAAGTTAATAAAGGAACGAACACTTTTATTCAGTAATCATGTTCTTATGTTCCAATAAAATACGAATTCATACAATATCGTCAGCTCTAGAAGTGTAGATGGTTCAATGTAGACGGCGAATTTCTGAATCGTCTTCGAGTTGCCGACGATATTGTCAGAAAACGTGATTTATGATCTAAACAATAATTCTAATACATTTTATCTTGCAACAAACACTAATAGAATCAAAATCAGGAACATACTCAAATCAACATCAATATACAGTTGGTGGAAAATGAATTAGAAATTGTTGAGGGATGAGAGAGGCACAAAAGCGAAATGAATGGCCAAGAATGGAAACAGCCTATTTCCGATAGGGGCTTGAAATAGGCGGGTCGAAACCGTGATACTTCTTATAAAAGTTGAATAGGTCAATATTACATTTTACTGGCACGTGTGTCGTTCTTGGGAAATTTTATTTTCATTTTTTCATTCATTCATTTTAATTTTACGAACTGTTACGAATTTTATCTGCCTTTGGGTGTTATATTAAAATGCTATTTGTATGTTTAGGGTGGAAACAATGCAGGTCACACTATTGTGGTGGATGGCATCGAATATGATTTCCACTTGTTGCCAAGCGGAATCATTCAACCCAACGTCAAATCGGTTATTGGTAAGTACACATTTAATGTAAATTATTGATGCATTTGTTAGCCTTTAGTGTTGTGTGCTAAATGTATGTACTTTTTCTCTAATTTATAAAGCTGTAGCTTATTTAGAATACATTAGTTGATTTGATTCAATTTATCAACCATTAGCATTGACTTAAAAGAACTACAATTACAATGTATCTTATGATACACGTTAGAGTATAAATAGGGTTCTCTGAAAAGGTTTTACCGGATTACTCTTAATGGCTGGTAACGACTTTTGAAATGCTATTATTAGTATATTATGTTTACATCAATTCAAGATATGCTTTATTCTCACAAAACATTTAATAACTCTTATGGACAATACCTACATGACTGTTAAAGTTTGTCCACCTAAAATTACGGGTTTTCTACAGGGCGTGCCCTAATACAAGTTAGGTCACGATAATATCAAAATTTTCAAAAAAATAATTTTAGTTAGAGTAAAAATTTATCTTTAAATTTTTTTTGGTGAAAAGAGTAGGAGGTTTAATATAGCAATAGATATCAGTAAAGCAAGAAATGTTAATAGGACGAATAGTCACAAGCCATAAACTAAACCTATCTCCTCATTTGAATTGCTCTTTAATTAAAATAATAAATGCTTTTTACACATGTGTTGTGCCTGCAATTCTGATTTAATCAAAAATACAAACCAGCAAATTAGTAAAAATGCAATTAATGCGGATGTCACTTATACAGGAAAGAATATATTTATGTTATCGTTAATTTTTGCGTAGTGTCAAAGCATTTCGTAAAACTTGATTTTCCAAGATTATCGGTTTAAGGAAAGCAAATGCAAGGTATTTTCGATATGAAGGGGACAGAGCTGTAATATCAATTGATAACAGAAAACTATAATTAATGTGGTGTTAAATTTAGCGGGTTTGGGACAATTGGAATGAAACTCTTTATTTAAAGAGCCGACGTTTCGACCATATATTTGGTCCGCTTCAAGGCTAAATAATAAATATAGGGGTATAAGAGGCGTTTGATTTCACAGATTCTTATGCCACATTATTGAAAATACAATTAAATATTTTTTGTTTAAGAAAATTAATATTTATTTTGTAAAAATCAAACTACCACATTAAATGCTTATTAACTGTAATAAAATAAACTTGATTAAAATTAATACATGTACAAGAGTATTATTTGCGTCGGTAGGTAGTGGATACCTAGATAGCTAAGGGTACCTAAGTTTATACCTTAATTATATCACTGAGCTCAGTATCGTAGGTATAGGAGACTTCACACGATTTTCTTTATGTAACTACATTTGTCATTAATTGTAGCTTCATTTAATCTACATTTTTGTCTAAATAGGTATATCGTTTTGTAATTTTTTAAAAATCTTACTTTAACTACCTTCCTACATATCGAACGCGATTTTTTTATATCAGAAGTCGAGGAATTTTAATGCAGTGGCATAGGCTGGTATAGACTTTTAGTAAATCGTTAAGTTTTGGTTATGAGTGATTGAGAGGTCTCATCGTACCTATGGCGGTTTTGAGAAGATTTTTCTTGCATAATTGCCTGGTTTTGAATAAGAAGCGAACACTTTGGTATGTATACCTATATCAAACAATCAACCTAATTTATTAAACTTACATCTACGTAATTCAGAATTCAGGCAAATAAATTCTCTTAAAATACCTATGTATCTCTCCGTTTCCATGCATGATAATTCTGTACCTTATTACTCATTCAAAACTTCCATAATATACCTTCATTTTCTCTGGTACCTATACATATCTACTTAACAATCTTAGCCTGTAAATAACCGAACTCTATTTACTTGCTGAGTATTGTGTGTACCTATGTGTGATTCCCTAAAATATAAAACTATCGAAATCTATTCGTGCAAATTCAACAGTGCTGTAATTTTACTTCAAATCTGTTTATTTAAACTTTTGAAGTCAATTTTTAGGTATTTTGAAGTTGAAGTTGGATTTATTAAGTATCAATTCAGTTGATTTGTCTGTCTACTTATCCCTTTTATATAGTTAGGCTCTGTTGTTTGGTTCGTTCGAAAACTGCGAAATCTCAATATAATTCAAATTATGCCTTTGTTGAAATTAGTATGTCCGTTAAAAAGTGACTTCTTACAGAGATTACTTTCGAATTAGCAAACACTTTGTGTATTAGTAGGGGTTTAATATCCTTTTGAGGGGTAAACAATTTCCAATTGAAGTTTCCATCCATGTCGCCCTCAATTTAAAAATAGCTCGGCGACCTTTGCGTTCGAGGAGACTCCTTGTTACATAATATCAAAATATTTATTAGTTTTGTGCCAAGCTCGCTGAAATTGCTCACGTACCTACCCAAATTATTTTTTAGGTCCAAAGTGTTAGAATTACATTTTATTTAATGAGTTTTAATTAAAAAGTTTTGTAATCCAAACCACTTATTGTTTGATACTACCGGAAACTTCCATTATATAAGAGTAGTTTTTATATGTTATTTTATATTCGTTAAATACTCCTCTCAAGATAATGCTAGTTTGTTTAAAAAAAAAAATTCCAATGTTATTTATTTAGAATTGAAAATATCCGACTGGCAAACGTAAGCACCGAAAATAGGTTTTACCAGTTAGGATGGGACAATAAGCATTCATTTGGTTCATATATCACTTATCATAAACATATAGGTTTTATATTTTTTGGCACCGAGTGATTACATTGGTAGACAAGTAAATGTTTTCAGTTATAAATGCCTGGCGATACCTTATGGAACTTGTGTCATAACATCTAAATTTTCAATGCAGTCTAAAACTTTCAATTTAGTAGAGTAACAGACATACCAACTTTTCCATTTCTTTTAGAGTAGTTGCATACGTTTCTATCTAAAAAGAGTCGTTAGTTTTTAGTAATATTTGTTAAGCCAATTTTAATGGGCTTATTTTATGGCAATAGTTTTAAATTAACAGCGTGTAACCTACTTCCACAGTTGATAATTCGATTCGATATGTACCTAATGCCTGCAATTATTTGCTTAATGCAATAACGATTTCAAAACATGCTAACACAGCTTGCAAAATAAAGGTATTTTGCTTACAAAAATCGGAGAAAGCGTTTTATAAAATAAGCTTCTTGAACATTTTCATTCTGTTACCATTAGACATAATTATATTTCTACTTGCGTGGCACAAAAAGGAACCTGGCTGCAACGATTTCAATTTACTTTTAACTAACTTTATGGCCTGACGACATCACATCACTGTTATTACCTACGACAAGCTGCACGCTATGTTATTAGTAAACGGATTTATTTATCTTTATGCCAATAGCCATTATTTCAAATATTGTTTGGATAGTTTTAACACAATTTGCAATACCTATCATTAAACTCAGATACATTGTTTCCCAGTTGCTGCAATAAACTTTAAATTATAGTTGAGCTTGGAAATTATTTAATAGACTTTGGAAACTTAAAACGTTAAGTTTTCATCGTTTTACTGAATTATTCCGAAAAGGGCAGTTTAAAATATTAATACCTTTAAATTTATTTATATAAATAGGCGGTTACAAACATACAAAACAAGTTTTTTCTAGTTACCTGAAAATATGCTGCAAGGTTTTTTATTTAATTATATTACAATTTTTTCACAATTTGTCTAGGAAAATTTGCAATAGTTACTATATCTACATATAAGTAGAAGCTATTTACCGTCTGTGTTTCAAAGATCGTTAAATTTACGCTTCCACGTAAACTAATCTGAAAGTATAATTTAATGTTTTTAATTTCAGGCAATGGAGTAGTGATTCACCTACCACAGCTGTTTGATGAAATTGAAAAAAATGTGAAAAAGGGCATGAAAGACTGGGAACAACGATTGATCATTTCCGATAGGTAGGTTGATATTTGGACTTATCCAGTAACGATGGGTGTTCAAATCGTTCCTGAAATGCGTGTTTCTTTTAATTTTTGAAGACACAACCCGCCGTTTAAGTCCCCTTATATAATATGCTTACAAACTTGCGCTGTTTAATACAGAAATAAACTTAAAATTTCTTCATTAGATTTATGCTATTGTTCATTTATAAATGGCGAAATGTTCTGTTTTTAGGGCACATTTAGTATTCGATTTTCATCAAGCTGTTGATGGGCTGCAAGAGCAGGAAAAGAATCAGAAAGGCCAAGGGCTTGGAACCACCAAAAAGGGAATTGGTCCGACATATTCATCAAAAGCCACTAGAAATGGAATTCGTGTGGGAGACCTTTTAGGGGATTTCGAAAAGTTCAGAGAAAAGTGCGTATACATTTTTAATAAACACATAAATACATATATTAAGCCAGTTTCAAGTTGATTGCAAATCATCAGGCAATAACTGCGGTTAATGTATTATTGTTTTCATTATATTATTTAGATTCAAGACCTTGGTCGCAACCTACGAGAGGATGTTTCCGAATCTTCAAGTGAACATAGAGGATGAGTTGGTACGATATGAAAAATACGCCATAAAAATTAAACCTCTGGTATACGACACGGTTTCCTTCCTTGATAAAGCCATTAGGGAAGGTAAGAAGATCTTGGTTGAAGGTGCCAACGCAGCAATGTTGGACATCGACTTTGGTAAGTCATTTTGATGGTTGCAACTCAATTTTTTATTGATCTTATGTATATTGCAGGTACTTACCCATATGTTACTTCGTCTAATTGTACAGTGGGCGGTGTTTGCACGGGATTGGGAATTTCTCCTATAAGAATAAGCACCATCGTTGGTGTGGTAAAGGCTTACACGACGAGAGTTGGAGATGGACCATTTCCTACAGAACTTAGCAATGTAAGTGAGATATTTGTCTCAATTTATAAACTTCTTCCAGTAATAATGGTTGATAAGTGACATTCTATTATTCGCATAGGAAATAGGAGACCTAATGCAAGAAAGGGGCGGAGAAATTGGCGTCACGACAAAGAGGAAAAGGAGATGTGGTTGGTTGGATGTATTCCTATTGCAGTACACCAATATGATTAATGGCTATACAGCTTTCTGTGTTACAAAACTGGACATTTTGGACACACTGAAAGAAGGTAAGTTCAGGATGTAACAAACTGAATTGATGGAACTTTTTTGTGTAATTACATTTGATATATTTTATTTTAATACATTGATTTGCTTTGGTTTCAGTAAAAATAGCTGTGGGTTATAATTTGAATGGCAAAAGAATTCATTACATGCCTTCTACTGCTTCAGACTTGGCCAAAGTAGAGGTGAGAACGAAATCAAATAATTTTACGTCATTTTAGTTTCAAAATATGAATTACGATGAAATATCAAAAAAGTAAATTCAAAATATTTTCATTTTTTTGGTGACATGCAATTTATTTACCTTTCAGTGTGAATATATTACATTGCCAGGCTGGGAAGCTAGCACTGAAAATGTGAGGGAGTTTAGCGATCTGCCGAAAAACGCTCAAAGCTATATAAATAAAATTGAAGAATTAGTGGGAGTTCCAAGTAAGTTTATTCACTACTTATCGTTTTCATTTCTAAACTAATGCTTTTGTTACAGTTAAATGGATTGGAGTAGGAAAGGGAAGAGAATCAATAATAAAAATCAACTAGCGTGAGTAGCCAATCGCGCTAGTTGATTTTGATTTATTTATGATTACGTATTCATTATTAAGGTGTAAAAGAAATTGTAAAATAGCTGTTATTATAGTTCGGAAGCGCAAATTACTTTATTTAGTTGGTAGAAAGCAATTCACATACGTCGCATAAAGTATTACTAAATAATTAATGCCTAATTAATCAAGAAATTTTGAGAATAAATATTCCTTAGGATATTGCATATTTACTGAAATAAATCCTATAAATAATTTTGAAGATACTTCAAGATAAGTAAGTTTCATTCATGATTTAATAATGAACAGAAAATAGAGTATTAAAAGTCAAATAGTGTTATTCGCATTATGTTGTTATATGTTATAGGCATTATATAAATTAAAAAGTTATTTTTTGCCTAAGTAGTTACCATGCTGTTGGAAGCTGCCCTTTTCTTTTACTAAAATTAATTTCTATTAATAAAATTTTAACGCTGACCTGAATTTTGACGCTTTAAAGCTGACTATTGTAATTTATTGTGTCTGGATCATATAAGTTTTTTGTTGGGCGGATATTGCATAGTTATTTTTGCTTCAAATTTGATTCACATACCGAAGCTACTGCATATTTTAAATTGCAGAATTTAACTTAGAAAAGATAAAAATGATGAAGACTAAAGTAAATTCGCCTGAAGTATATTGATGGGTCAGCAAATAAAAGCTATTTCTAATGGATTATGATTATCACTTTTTCTTTTGTAATAATGATTAAGTATTCTCTGTTCTGTGTTTTATTATTGCAAGCCAAATCTCTTTCGCACATAAAGGTAACCACATGAACTAGAATGTTTTGGTTGTATGTTCTACTTAGTTTAAATTGTTGAAACTGAATATAGCGGATACCGACATTTCTTAATTGAGGATTTGTTAGTTCGGGTGTTGATACAGAGATATAAGATATCATATCAAACTTTGGAAAGCCATTTAATGCTTTTTAGCTAACGTTTTAGGAAAATCGTAGTTTTTCCAAATATTATTGCGATTTACAAGAAATCTAATTTTGCTCACCAAAAACTGAAACTAAGTTTTAGGTGTTTCCGTCATTTTAAATATTCCGTCAAAGTTTCCGTCATATTAAAAATTATTATATTCGAGTAGTCTTGTTCAATGTTTTATTTTAGATTTGACGTTTTTGTTTTAAAAGAACTTTTTAGATTCAATTTGAGTATAACTTTTTATATATGTATATTATTAATTTTTCCAAAAATATACGTAAACTTTGTCCGTTATTTTAAATAAAATTATTTTCTTAGGAGATGTATTAGTATTGGGAAGTATACGGAACCAGATCAATCAATACCTTACATCTTTTTAATGTTAGAATTAGGAATATAATATTTTTGCAGTTCTGCGGCAATAATTACCCAATGTTTTTTTGAACCACAAAGTTGTTTATGATAAACTTGGTTCAATAAGCTAGTAAGTGGCTTATGGAAGTATTACCCAGACTACAGAAATGGTTTTATTTTATAAAAATAATATATTTTTGATGCTAATGTATTGAACTAATTTTTGTGATTTATTCGTAATTTTCTGTTTGATTTTTTCACGTACAGAACACAAGTTTCTAAGTAACTTTAATCACCAAACTGTAATATTATATTAGATCTTCTCGAAATATGTGAAACAATAATTGTTACTTAATAAAGTAGGGAAATATCCAAAGTATTGTAATTTTTTATCGCACAGTGATCGTCAACCAGTCAGGGGCGCTATAAAAAAACATATCTTTTTGCTCCCATATTGGCCCGCCAAGGTCACCTGTGCTGTAAGTGCTCTCCAAGTCACAAAATTATTGATAATTTTTCCTCCTGATTTAAGATTACTAAACTCCGGTGATCATCTCGCTAGGAGGCTTCCGTAATCCTTTTCTCAAAGGTGTCTCAAAAAGGCAACAGGAAGATTTCAAGAAGAAGGTAAAATTGTACTAAATCGTTAATTGCTGGAGCCAGTTCTTGTCATTATTCTGGACTAAATTTATTCATAGCTTATTTAATTTAAAATTGTTGAATGTGAATGCTTAAAAATTATTCATTATAAGGAGGTACTTGAAAAGTTCTTAAACGATTATAAATAAACAGAACCAGGACAAAAGCTATCCAAAGTTTATTTCATGAATTATCGTTTTTATTCGTATCACTATTTACAGATGGTAGAAATACTGGAAAGCCGCTTGTTACAAAATATTGATTAGAAATGTGGTTATTTTGGAAAATGTCAGTAACATTTCGAGGGAATGGATTAACATAATTCGTTGAAAAGTCTAGAGGTACACTGTTAAACTCCGATTTAATATTGGTAACTAGCGCTTGCTGATTTGGTCTGCTTTCTGAAGAATCATTGCTGCCACAGTGAATTCTTGTAAGTTTCTCCTCATTTACACCATCCAGGGGGACATTTTTCTCATCCTTTGTCTTGAAATCTCCAATTACTCCATTTCTTTCCCGTCTCTCTCGGGCCCTTCGATTTTGAAACCAGATTTTCACTCGTATATCGGCGAGTTGCAATTTCTTAGACATGACAATGACTTCTTCGCTACTGAGATAAGGACTTTCGTTGAATTTTTGCTCTAAAAGCGAAAGTTGATAACTGGTGAACGGTATTCGAGGATGGCGTCCAAGTTGTCGTTTTTGGACGTTATTTTTTTGA